AGAGAGAGAGAGAGAGAGAGAGAGAGAGAGAGTGAGTGAAGGAGGTAGAGATACCAAAAATGTATATAATTAAAGAAAATGAAATGGTCTTTTTTATTAAAAAAAATTAAAGAAAATAAAATGGAAAAAGAGTAAAGTTAAAGAAACCCCCAGAAAATCCAGGGGGGGGGATATAGTGAATACTATCACGATAGTGAACCGTGCAACGTAACGACGGTTGACGAATAGAGGTGCGTACGTATTGCCGACCTCCGGTAAAAGTGTGAGCGTGATCACTGCTAAGTGCAACGACAGAGACTGACAGAGCCGAAGCCCTTTATTTTGGACTTTCTTTTTAGGGCCTTAAAAACTAAAAGAGAATTATATAAGGTTCGTTTGGTACGAGGATAATATGAAAATTTGTATTATAAGTTGAATCAAAATTCGTAATTTATTATAATATTTTTTTTATAAAAAAATATACGTAAATTGATAATAGTTTTGAATTATAATTATAAATTCGTGAACCAAACGTCTATTTAAATTAAAGTGATTCTAATCATGATTTGAAATTAGAATTATGATTCATGATTTTAAGTTTAAATCATAATTTTGAAACTATGATTCAAAATCAGGTGTTTTAATTACCTTGAATTAAGAGGGAGTGATTTTAAAATAATGAGTGATCCTAATTTAAAACATCACATCAGATTCTGAATAATTCATACCAAACACTGATTCTGAACTAGATCCAGAAATCTACCTTTAAAAGTATATAAGTCTAGATTTTTACTCATCATTCTTACTTAATATCATTTGACTAAAAAAAATTATTAATTAAAAGTAAATAATAAAAATTTTGACATGTACACTTTTAAAGAGTATTTATCTCTTTTATCTTTTTACAAATGATCTTCTATGTGTAGTGTTTGTTTGTGAATATTGAGAATTTTGTTAAAATCTTTAAACTGAAAAAGTATGCGTAGATTTTTTTTTTAATCAAGATCTCACGGTTTAAAACAATAAAATAGCGATACCTATCATAGAAATCTCATTGTTGAAATTAGACAAAAACAAATTATGATGTTTAATTAAGATTAGTTAAATACAGTTGTGAAATATGAGTGATTTCTTTAACATGGTACATAAAAAAAATACCTATAGTAGTTTAGGGGTTTGGACTGTCACATTATTTCTATTGAATGCTGTTAAACTCGTATATTATTCTATTATTATATGATCAACCATTCGGAGATGTGCGGTATTTCTACAAAAATTCTATTCAAAGATGCGTAGATATAGTATTTTATTTCTTTTTATTCTACTACAAAAATTCTAAGAATATTGCTAATGTTCTCTAAAAATATTTATATATTTTGCTGGTAAAAAAGAATATATTGCTAATGGGATTTGATACGTTTATATATATTTTTAAGATCCGTTTAGTTTGCTGATTTAAGTTTTTAATTCGAATTGAAATGTTATTTTATATGAGAATTTTTTTATTATAATAAAAAAATTAAATATGTTTTTATTATAATAAAATTAAATTCTAAATACCAATAAATTAAATGGACAGTCAAAAAATCTTATGAATGGACTTGTATGAAATTGAGACGGTACATTATGTGACGTGACATGGCCCCTATCCCATAAACAAAGTTAAAAAGCGATGTGACACGCCTCCTAATATTAGCACATAACGAGTTTAGTTCACACTGCTAAAATTTATTAACCATTATGGGAATAACAAAAGAGAAAGATCCTTATTGGAAATTGTAATAATGCTGAAAATGATAAGTCGGCTAATGGGGGAATTGCTCGAAACCCCCTTTAGATGATTGTTTAAAGCAAGGAAATATCTTATTATTTTTCATTATCAAGTCCAAACGTTATCAAGAAATTGGGTCGTGCATCTATGTCGGTTTGGACTAAGTACTAATGTCGTTTTCCACTTTCTTTCAACCTATTACCGGTTTCTCAGGAGAACAGGTGTTAAGTTTGTTTATCCGATCCCATCTTACACAGGATCTAGATTAGTATAAACGGTGTCTAATTAATTAAATTAAATTATTTTATTTTATGATAAATATAAGAGAGTTAGTTAAATAGTAGTTTAAGATCTCTTTTATTTTACTTATTTGAGTTTAGAATTCGAGTTTTGTTACAGTAAAAAACTCTTAAATATAATCGCATCTATTTTTTTTTACTACAGTAAAAAACTCACACATAAAATCACATCTCAATTCAAATTTAAAACCTGAATCAGCGAACTAAACGGACATTAAATCTTAGGTCCGAATCGTCCGATACATGCTTTCAGGTCCAAAAAATTTAACCACATGGGTCTGTAGTTTGGCCACGACTGTGATGTGGGGTTCTGTGTAATCAAGACCAGTTGAAATTTTGTTTCTTATAAGGCGTGGAAGAGAAAAAGAAAATGATTACGAAGATGTAACGTGTTACGTGGAAAGATAGGGGAGATCTAATGGAACCTGAATGGTGGGATTAACTAAGATGAAGGATCCAATTCATGTGGAGAAAAAAAGTTAAAAAAACAACTCATAAGCACCAAAGAATAAACAAATAAGTAATTATTTTAGCTTTGGAGGGGGTCCAAACATGATTAATCTCTAGAATATTAACACAACAAAAAGCAATTGAGCAAACAAAACAAAGTTTAAATTATTGGCATGGTCGACGTCTTGTACACCCCACACCGCTTGCCTTTAATGTCTTTTAATGAGATAATGCAATCGTCCGTGATCAGAAAAGCTTTGCCAGCTCTGGCCCTTTAAATCTTTTTAACTGACAATTTTATGAGAAAAGGGCAATGGCACAATCACACATTGCCATAGTTTTCATGTCCGAGGATGGGGCTTTTTATGTTTGTTTACCAAATTTGCGTGGTGATAGATAGTAATGGTTTGCATGTGATGGCTTCTTAATGTATATTTAAATGGCCATTTCTCTTTTTTTTTTTTTTTTTAAGTCCCACTCTTTCATATGCAAGCAAGACAAGATTTGGATAGCCCAAATGTGGTGCTCCCAAGTTAAAATATAAGATGTGATTTGTTTCTCAAAAAATGGCTATAAAAGTTCTTTTCAACTCCTAAACACAAGGAGGAATGTTATTTTTTGTTTGTAAGTTGATAAGTTCACTTTTTTTCTCGTCTTTTTTGCTTTTTGAAGCTTTAGGAGACTTTGTGAGAGTAGAGATACCGCTTGTGAAAGCCACGAAGTGAAAGTGATTTGAGATTCGCTAGTCATTGATAAAGGTGCTAGGCAAATTGCAAGCAAATTGGTGGCCTTTCTTTTCTTTATAAAAAAGCAGTGTGACATTGCAAGATTATCGGCAGCTCCTCCCACAACCAAAGTTCATTGGTGATGCTTCCACAATTATAGAAATTTTTTTTTTTTTTTTGGTTTCCTTAATTCATTTTGCTTTTTCTGTCTACTTTCAATGGAATATAATTAAAATTGACCGAATATCAATGGTTGAAGCTTGCTCAAAACTCTTTTGATACTATAGTCAGTGCTCATATGGCATGTCCATTTTATCCTTAAATGCTCCTTTAATACATGAGTCGTGACCTTGCTTTATGGAAGAGATTAATAACACTAATCTATGTTTTAATAACCTAGTCTCTCGAGAAAAAGTAACCAGAAATTTCTATCACCAGAGAAAGAAGAATTAAACTTGGCTCATTCTTGGCAGTTTATTACAGTTGAAACCCATGATTGCCACCAGCGAAATTCTTGCCACCACCTGTAAACCTCCTTAAAATAAGATCACTACAGTATTAACTTTATCAATTTGCACACTTGTTGATATACGCTGAGCTAATAAGAGCAAACTCCCAAGGATAAACCACACAAACCCAATTGATAAAAAATAATAATAATAAAAAAGAATAAAAAGAAAATAAAATAAAAGTTTATTAAGAAACACCGGCCAAAATGGCTGGTGGCTCCACTGTAATTTTATTAAACAGCAGTATCTGCTCTTTACTAATTATCAAAAAAAAATAAAAAAAGCACCTGCTCTTTGTTCGAGATTTCTTCGTTTAAAGTAATACAGGTTCTGCTATAGCTAAACCACTCGGACATATGAAGCTTTTTTTAAATGAATGTATATAATTAATGTGTTCATCTTTTCTTAAAATCAGGCTGGTTGGACACAGATCTGATCCAAGCCCATTTGTGATCCTTGGTGTTGACTTCATTCTTAGCGCGTGCCACCTCTTCCAAAGGGATATAAGCATAGTTACCATTAATAGGACCAGAGACAAAGCCAGTGTAGCCTGCCATAACACCATGAATGGCCGAATGTGCTAAAAGTGTGCAATACGAGTTATCCGTGGCATTTGCAGGAACTGCGCGGATCATGTATGTTGGATCTATGTACTTGACCGTAAACAACTCGCCGGGGTGGTCCCTTGACCACCATTTCTTCAGCTCCGACTTGAGCCAGCTGCCGACATCGAGAAGTACTAGGTTGCCAGATTCATCCCTCTCCTCTTTCTGGGCATCGGTTCTTGGTATCATTGCTTGCCCTGCTCCTTCAGCCACTACCAGCACTGCATGTCCATTCTCTTTCAGACGCTGATAAAGGAAATCAAAGAGTCCTCCTTTGCCTTCCAAGTAAAATTCCATTTCGGGGATCAAGCAGCAGTCGACATCCCGGCTGCTCAGCGTCGCGTGAAGAGCAATGTGCCCGGTGCTTCGGCCCATAAGTTTCACCAGACCTATTCCGTTCACTGCACTCTCTGCCTCCACATGAGCTGCACTGATTGCTTGCTGGGCCATTTCCACTGCCGTCTGGAATCCGAATGATCTGTCAATGATGCCCACATCATTGTCCACTGTTTTGGGGATTCCAGTCACCGCAACATTCAATTTTCGACGACGGATGGCATTGCATATCTCTACTGCCCCGCGCATTGTGCCATCCCCACCTATGATGTACACCTGCTTACATTATGAGGAGAAACAGATAGCGCAAGGGATGAGAAAATCACTCCGAAACTAAACGTGCATTCTTAGACAATCTTTCGCCACCAAATATTTATGAGAAATGAATGGGATTCATGATTCAACTAAAAAAAAAAACTGATAAAAGTACTGGCAGAATTCAATTTTCCTGCTCAGCCATCTATTCCAATTAAAAGTACTTCCACATCTTTGCTGGATATACAAAAGTCTGACATTCCGCATCTTAGTTTGATACAAACAAATATATTCTCGTTAAACCATCATGCAACTATGGTCTACCTAACTCTACTATCATTCACTTTTGAATGATTGCATTTGCAGGTTTTTGGTCTCCACGTTCATAAGGAAACTTTGAGAATAAGCGAGTTTGTTTGTTTGCTTCTTTTTTTTTCTTTTTTTTTTTTAAAAAAACCTCGAGTCCAGGATACTCTGGCACCAACTTCCAAAAGAGCATTGCTATTTTTAATCTAACTTCATAAATACATTAATTCATTAATTAAGTTGGGCCATGGTCTGCTGGCAAGTGGCAATAAAAGGGGTTAGTGAAACATCTCAAACACAGGAATAATAATAATAATAATAATAATAATAAAAAGGGGTAGACATAAAAGTGTAATTTGAAAAACTTTGACACAAGCTCTAGTCATGCTCTTCGCGTCTTAAAAGCAAATTAAAAGATATCATAGTTTTTACACATTATTAAATGTACAAAGAAAAGCAAAGCACCATTACCCCTTCTACGCTTTAAGCAATTATAGAGGAAAACATTTTTTTTTTTTTTTTTTGCCATTTCAAAAAGAGAGCCATATCTCTTCTAGTCAGCAGGATTCTTTCTTGACCCTTGCTTAATTTTACCTTGGCCTTTCGTTACTTTCTCAAGTTACCCAAATTTTGAAATGTATAGTTTGGGTTTAACGGGCTTTAAAAATCAAAACTTTACTTTCAGATTGCTAAATGTAACACATCCCTAACTTATAGAAAAATCAGGTGTTAGTAAACGTAAATATCAAAGATTAAGAAAAAGAAAAAACCTGATTAAAGCCGCGATCTTCAATAGCGTCAACGATCTTTTCCAGATCAAAGCCACCTCTAGAAGTCTCGAGCGCGGTCCCACCTCTCTTGTGCCAACTGCGCACGCGCTTAGGGTTCAGCTCGAGGGGCTCTCTTGAGTAAAACCCCCTGTACCCGGCGGTCACGCCGAATATCTGACGGACGCCGTAGAGCTCCCAAAGCCCATCGACGAGCTCTCTGATGACGGTGTTGAGGCCGGGGCAGAGTCCCCCGCAGGTGACAATAGCAGCTCTCACTTCCGACGGCTCAAAAACGACGTCGCGCCTGGGTCCGGCCCTGTGGTACGCCAGGTGATCGGGATTCGGCGAAGGGACGATTCCGGAAAGGTCGTAGACGATCTGGCGGAAGATGACGTCGCCGGAACTGACGTAGAAACCGTCGGACGGGTGGAAGAAGGGGTTGTTTTCGAGAGGATTCGGCAGGGTTTTAAGGTTGGGGATGTAGTCGGAAAGGTGAGGAATTTTCTGGAGTTTTACGGCGGGCAAGGAGAATTGGGCGACGGTTTTTCCGCCGTTGGAGTCGGCGGTGGGATTGGTGGCCTCAGGCTGAGTTATTGCGGCCATTGTCGGGAACGGGAACGAAGAAGCGTTTAGAGAGAGAAAGAGAGAGGCGAGAGAGAGCGCGGATGGCAGGGGAAGTTGGAAGAAGAGAACTGAAGAAGACAAGGAGATGTTGAACACGTGGCGCCCTCTTTTAAAATTGTAACACGTGGCAGTGTTTTGGACGAGAACGGTGTGCCACGTAGCGGCTCCGTGGGCGATGGCGGGGACGGGTAGTTATTGACCGTTCAAAATGTAAGGCCCAGCCTAACTCTATTATGGGCTTTTGTGTTGGGCTACACGGAAGGCTGATCCAGATACCAATTCCGCCAAGGTTGCATTTGCTCCACAACGAGTACACAGGGTGTACTAGAGGAAGTAACAATGGAATGTTATAATTGATGTTTCACTTATAAATTATTTGAGTGTAAAAAATATTCTCTAATATAATGCTATTTATTGTATTCAATTTTTCATATGTTATATATTTTGTGATAAATTTCTCACTAAGTAAAATATATGAGAAATTTTACATTTCATTATTATTGATTAAAATGTTTACTTTTTTATGTATTTATTACAACTTTTAAATGTATTTTCTAATTATTTTAAAAGTAAATGTTTACTTTTACAATCTTCAAAGTTTAATGATAGTGAGAAAAAATAGAGTATTTTAAATAACATTATGCATTGGAGTAAAAATAAAAATAACATATCATAGCATACTTTTGGATGTTAAATATTCAATTGTCATTAGTATTTATATTGAAGATGATCTTAACGAGAAAATATTTAAATATAGGGGAAAGAAGACAAATGCCTATTAGAGTAGGTGGGTCTAACTTTTTACTTTTTATTTTTAATTAATATATTTTTTAATCAAATATCTATATTAGTAAAGCCCAGCCTAACTTTATTATGGGCTTTTGTGTTGGGCTACAAGGAAGGCTGATCCAGAGACCAAATTCGCCAAGGTTGCATTTGCTCCACAACGAGTACACAGGGTGTACTAGAGGAAGTAACAATACAAAGTTATAAGTGATGTTTCACTTACAAATATAATATTGAGAAAAATAGGGAAATAGGTTAAGATTTGAGATAAATTAAAATTAATAGGCTAATAGTTTACATAAGTTAATAAATAGGCCAAATTAATATTTTTGTCCATAACTTGTCTGGTTATGAACCATAACTTGACAAGTTATTGTCCATAATTGTCCATAACTTGTCTGGTTATAAACCATAACTTGACAAGTTTATCCATAACTTATTTGATTATGAACCATAACTTGACAAGTTATGGCCTATTAATTTCTATAACTAAAAATTGGCCTATATACTTTCTTAACCTTTTCATATTGGCCTATTTTCTACTATTTCCCTATAATATTTGAGTGTAAAAAATACTCTCTAATATAATATTATTTATTGTATTAAATTTTACATATGCTATATATTTTGTGATAAATTTCTCACCAAGTACATAGCATATGAAAAATTTTACATTTCATTATTATTGATTGAAATGTTTACTTTTTAATGTATTTATTACAACTTTTAAATGTATTTTTTAATTATTTTAAAAATAAATATTTACATTTACAACTTTCAAAGTTTAATGATTGTGAGAAAAAATAGAGCATTTTAAATAACATTATGCATTTGAGTAAAAATAAAAATAACATATCATATCATACTTTTTGATGTTAAATATTCAATTGCCATTAATATTTGTATTGGAGATGATCTTAGCGAGAAGATATTTGAATATAGGGGAAAGAAGACAAATATCTATTAGAGTACATGGGTCTAACTTTTTACTCTTTATTTTAATTAATATCTTTTTTAGTCAAATAATTGTATTAATAAAAAAATGTACTATTAACATTTTAAAAGTAAATTTAGCAATTTTCTCACCTACTAAAGAAACCAGTTCTAGCAGCCCACTTAACAATGGCATCAGCTTCTAAATTCTCAAGCCTAAGAATTCACTTTAAACACAGAAGACTAACATATCAAGCAACTAATACATGCAGTGAAGAGACGAATAACCTGCCAATCATCCCTAAAATTTCGGTCCAAGAGAGCTCTCAAAGCGACCTTACAATCTCCAATAATTGGTCCGGTTGATACATTTTTTGTTAAATTGTAGACAAATTTATTGTATGTTTAGTATATGAATTCTGTTATAGTTAAACTCATAGTTTTAGTTCTGAAACTGTATTTTTTTTTATAAAAAATTTAAATTTTAATAATTATAATTAAAAATTTTAATTTAAACTCACATATTAAACGGACTCTGATAATTTTTTTGAGAAATAAAAAATGTCCTTATTCTTTTTGTGAAATTTTTACAGTGGAGAGGCTTTTTTTTTTTTGTCAAGACCGGTAGTGGGTACTTTTTTTAGTTGTTGGATTAATTGTTCAAGAATCCGATATATAAGTGAGAATACTTTTAATATCAATCGGTGGCATATTTTTAACACATATATTTAGAGTGCGTTTGATTGAAAGATTCGTGTCCTGATTCGAATCATGATTCGTAATTCATTACAGTATTTTCTCTTATAAAAAATACACATAAATTGAGATGATTTTGAATCCATAAACCAAACATCCTTTTATACTATTAAAAATTAATCTAATAGCTGGCCCCGTTTATTTCACTGATTCGAGTTTAGAATTCAAATTTTGTTATAGTAAAAAGTTCTCAGAAATAATCACATCTAATTTTTTTACTACAGTAAAAAATTATCACATAAAATTATATTTTAATTTAAATTAAAAATTTAAATCAACTAACTAAACGGACGTAATGAATAAGAAACCTTACCTAACAAAAAAATTTTCTTTTGTCTAACAGAAACTTCTTGCGTGTTGAAGGGAAGGAGGGAGGGCGTGTCCAAAATAGTACACATAAAATAGTACTACCAACAACAATACCTCCCTTGTGTCGACCCATTGGACATCGCACACGTAGATACGATCAATTGAAAAGTCATCTCACGCAGACGACCAATCCAAGTTTCTACGGAAAAAAAGAAAAACAAAAATTTCTACAGTAAAGTCAAGACGCAATAGATGAAACGCGAAGGCCATCAAGGGTGAGAAAACAGAAAATTTATTGATGCGATTTTATTTTTTATATAAAAATAAAAATAAAAATATTTTTAATTTTAGATGGTAATTATTTTTAAAATTATATTTAGTAATTTTATTAAGATATTATTTTTAATATAAAAAAATATATTAATGTCTCTTTTTTTTAGAGAAAAAAATAAAAATAAAAAATGAAAAATGACTTTTAGTCGTTTTTCATTTCTCTCTTATTTTATATTAAATTAAAAAATCGTTTTCATTTTTATTTTTTATCTTTATTATGCTAAACACCGTTTTAGAAACGTTTTCATTTTTTTTCTCAAAAAATGTAAAAAAATAAAAATAAAAATAATTTCAAACACGGTCTATGTCTCGTTCAGTTTACAAATTTAAGTTTTTAATTTGAGTTGAGATGTATTTTTACGTAAAAATTTTTAACTGTAATAAAAAAATTAAATATAATTTTTATAAGAATTTTTAATTGTGATAAAATTAAAATTAAAATTTTAAATTAATAAAATTAACAGACTTAAAAAAAAAAAGAGGCACCAACGGAAGAAATTACACTCTTAAGACGTAGAAAAATCAAGTCATCATAAAAAAATAAAAAAAGGTACAACCATAATGATGCCACTCTAGTTTTATACGTTTCCCCTCTCTCTCACACATGCACACCGCACACGGCCAGACTAGAACAAAATTGAACTTTTTTTTTTTTAATTAAAAGAAAAAAATTTATTGTCTGCCAAAAGCATGGATGATTCGAGTTTAACTGGTAAATTTGAATCAGCGAAACGAACGTGACGAGGACGAGGCCTTAATGTCTGTGAACTTTGATTCTGTATAAGTACTTTCTATTTTGTAACAGCTGCTATAGTAATAATGTCAGCTCCACCCATCTTCTTCCTCAAAGCCTTGGCCAAGTCGATGGCGTCCACTCCATCTCCGATCACCACCACTTTATCTTTCGCCTCTCCTTCTAACCCCACATAGATTACGCCTGTGCCATGCAACATTAATAGTAATTCATTGAATTAATTAATATAATTTCCTGATTAATATTGACTGAAAAACTTTAGTTAATTCTCGCTTCAGTACTAATTAATTATGGCTATATATATATATATATATATATATATATAATATACTTACCATCTTTGGCTGCAACAACCTTGAGTGCCTTCGTCCGACATTTATTGCATTTCATAGCTACCTTCATCACAATCTTTTGCTGCATATACATAGTAAAATTTATAATGATTTACGAAAATATTAATGCTCAAATGATTAAGCAACAACTAGATTAATATCTTGATTACTTGGTCGAATATAGTATACGATAGCGCATACCTTCATCTTCTCTTCCACCACTGTCTACTTTTGAAGATCTTCAAGAAATCACCCGAAAGAATGAGAAAAAAAAAACCAGACATGGCTTTAGCTATATACACACGACGGGGCTTATGCATACACAGGGAAACCTTGCATACGAAGGGTTGGCATTGACTTGTTCCGAAAGAAAGACCCAATGGCCTCGAAAGTCTACATATCTAGTACAACAACCGCGTTGGGCTAAACTCATCGGCATTTATTAATTTCACATGTGTTTCACACAAGGGACGTTAACAGGTTTTTGCTCCAGTATGTCTTAAACGCCTACGTTTTAAGGACATAAACTGAACAAAGTTAAGGTACTGTTTATTTCACCGTTCGATTTTTATTATAGTAAAAAATTCTCACATAAAGTCATATTTTAACTCAAATTAAAATTTTAAATTAACGAATTAAACATGTCCTTAGTATATGAGTTTAAATAAGATTAATTACATTAAAATTTTTTTAATTCATATTTTAGCAAGAGAAATACTGTTTGAACTGGGAACTCCTAAACCAAAAAACCCCTAAATCAAACCGTATATCTCAGGCCTCGTTCGTTTCGATGATTCGAGTTTAGAATTTGAGTTGAGATGTGATTGTATGTGAGAGCTTTTTACTGTAGCAAAAAAGTTAGATGTGATTGTTTGTGAGAGCTTTTTACTGTAGCAAAACTCGAATTCTAAACTCGAATCAGCGAAACGAACGAGGCCTGAATTTGTTTCTTTTTTGCCGTTGTCTTTGTTGTTGTTATTTTTTATTTTTTATTTTTTGGCATTTTCTTCCTGAGATTTGATTTGACGAAACATATGTAGGGACCCCAGCAAGTTCAAATATTTTAAGAAGGATCTAGAACACATCCTGCTCGGTCTCTCAACCCAAGATTGTAGTACAAATCAATTAGGACCCGTTTGGTTGAAGGATCCGGATCACATAATCAGAGTCAATTGTAAGAATTCATGTTTGGATCCACCAAATTGTCCAATTGATTTGAATCAAGGTCTGAGTCATGTGGGTCTTGATTCGGAATCAACCCCCTCTTGATTCAGCCTAACTGCAATCAGGCTTACAGTACACAAACAGTAGAGTAGTTGTGTGGGTGACAGCTGAAAAGCGTACGACTTTTTTTTTCCCTTGTTTATATATACTTCTCATTGTTACGCCCATGTGTTTGTAAGATTTGTTTTTAAAATATATATATAATTAATCATTTTTATTTTAATATGATACGTTAAAATTAAAAAAATTATAGTTAGCTTGTTATAATTTTGAGTTATAATTATTTGTATAATTTGTTTTAGTATTTCATTTTTTTATTATATCACGAATTATATTTATTATATAATTTTTTAAATTACATTTATTTTGGTCATGATTCAAATTCAAAAAAGAAGACAATTAAACACTGGTTCGAATCACATTTCATGTTAGAATCAGAATCATGCATATACACATCTAAACGAAGGTTCTAATCACTCTAAATCATGATTTGATCATGAATTATGATTCTGAATCAAATGACTCAAATCACCTTAATTTCAATTATTATACCAAACGGACCCTTAATATTGCCAGACTAGTGCATTTCAAAGAAAGAGTCTTTTGTCACATATGGGAAGATGTCAAAACGGTCTTCACACAACAGAGATAAATGCATAAACTATCAATTGTACATTTGTAAGTAACCTAAGGTATGCAGTGGCGGATCTAACATTTTATGTCAGTCGGGTTTGTATATTTTTCTCTAAAACATAAATAATATAAAAAAGATATACAATAAATTATATTATAACATTTTTCAAGAATTATTAGATATATATTGTGAATTTATTATATGAAAAATACCCTACTGTAAGGTTTTGTGTTGAAATTTTAGATTTTTTTAATATATAAAAAGGTGTTAGTTTTGTATACCTCTTTTATTTTGATGTAAATTTTGATCAATTTAGTGTTTAGAATTGTGCATTACGAATAAGAATACTCTACCATAGATTTTTTTTTTCATTTCAATATCTTGCATTGCGAGGAGATAAAAAAAAACCATACCTTATATTTTATATTTGTCACTTTTATAGCTTCTGATTTTAAAATTATACTCCATCTTATATTTTCTTGACCAACTGTCAATTTAACTATAAAACATATCCTCATTAACGCCATCAATAAAATAAAAGAATTAGGAAAAAGAATTGCAAAAGGTTTAAAATACTCAAGTCTTTTTCATAGTCCAACTCAAGCTCAGACTAAAGAAATGTAAATTTAAAATATGATAATATAAATGTGATGTAGTAAAAAATATAAGATATCATAAAAGGCATTACAATTGCTTGTGAGTAAAATGAGTAAACTTGTTTATAAATGAAATCTAGGAATAAAATGAAGAAAAATGGTAAAAGTCAATGGAGGTATATATGATAATATTACATTTTAGTGGGGGCAAAATAAAAAGTTAAAATCTTTCAAGGGATCAAATTTTTATTTTTAAAAAGTGACCGCCCCCACTCGACACTATGTGCCTCCACCCCTGAAGGCATGGAGCGAAGTCCCGAATCCTATCTCTTAGAGCATAGATGATGCAATGTCGAATCGATGTACAAATATCAAATTTCAATATTTAAGTGAAATATCTCTCTAATAAAATGTTAGTTGTATTTTCTATAAATACTATATTTGATAACAAATTTATCACAAAATACAATAAATATTAAATTTGACATTTGATTATTGTTAATTATTACATTAAGTTTTTATTTAAGCATTATGACATTGTTCTTTTAAAATTATTTTAATATTAAAATTATTCCAATACTAAAAAGCAGATATGGCATTTGAATTAGTATTAACATTACGTATTGAAGTACAAAATAGAACAACACATCAAATATGTTATTTTCACATTTTTTAATGATAAATATAACGTTGATAGTAACATTTACATTCACAATGGTATTAAGCTAAATCTCTCATTAATTCCATCCAAAATAGTTGTTCTCAGCAAATCTGGTATAACTTCCTCTATGAGAACATATTTATGAGTGATCATACTATTGAAAGAACCAAAAACCATTTTGCAATATTGTTAAAACAAACATATAATAATACAGTAGAAAACAAACAAACAAACATATATTTGTTCAACATCACAAATTAAATTCACAAAACTTTGTCGCAAAGTGCTTGCATATTTTTTAACAAAACGAAATGTGATGACTGATGGGTTCCAAAAGTATGGCTCTTACCTTGATCTTACCATCTTGTAAGGAACCAAATGAATTAACGCAGGGTTGGTCCAAATGTATAATGCATATATATGTAACCATGTAACAGTTTGAGTCGCTGATCTGGTGGGCACAAGGAGACACACAGGGAAATACTTTTTTTTGAGTATTTTGTACTTTTACCCCTTAACTTGAAGGGTTTTGACAACGTGCTTCCCAAACTACAAGTTTTGACAATTATTCTCCCTAATTTGCAAAGTATTGTAAATGTGTCCCATTTTACCGGTTTTATTTTACTTTTTGGGGTTTTAGCACAATTACCTCTAAACTTATTGCAGTTTAACAACTTGCCCTCTAAACTTCTAATTTTAATAATTAATCTGCCGAACTTATAAAATTGTTGCAATATGCCCCATTTTACTAAATTTGCTCATTTTTTTATTAGATTTAAGGGATTAAAAGTTAAAAAATTAAAATATTTGTGTCACATTGGAATTGTGATGTTGGAATTTTTCGTCGAACATGCTTTTTTGACACTAACTTAAAACAATCATCCATCACAAGAAACATGGACTTTAGCGGGGAAAATTGCTGTCGCTATAAAACTTTAGAGTCGTCGTTATAAAGGCTTTGACGATAACATATTGTCGTTACACAGTCATTGCTTTGTTGCTAAAAAAATTTAGCGACAACATCGTGTCATGTCGTCGCCATAAATTGTAGAAACGAATTGATGGAAAATAACGTCAGCAAGCCTTTTAGTGACGACAGTTTTAAAAACTGAGGCCTACAATACTCTTTGGTCCGTGCTTTATCATTGACCAACGGATATTGTTGTCACTAAATATGTCGTCGCTATAGGCTGCTTTGATTCTTATAGTGTATCGTCAAAATGAGACATATTCTAACAATGTTACAAGTTAAGGGAGTAACTTATCAAAATTTAAAATTATAAGGGGCAAGTTGCTAAAATCATACAAGTTTAACTGGTAAATGTGTAAAATACCCTTATTTTTATATCAGATTTAAGGGATTCACTGAATTAAGTTGAAAGATTTGTGTTATGGAATTTAAATTGATTGGATGTTAAATACTTTCATTTAACGTGTTTTTCTATCACCAATTCAACACAATCATCATAAAAATGTGCTACACTAAAACAATTTATAAGTCGGCAGAGGGGATTGCCAAAATAAGTAGTTTACGGAATAAGTTGCCAAAGCCTTATAAATACAAGGGACAAACTTTTATTTTTCAGATAAAATTTGATTAACAGACAAGGAAATACGTACACAATGTCTTGTAGACCCTATGTCTATAAAATATTGTATGAAATTAACAAAAAAATAATGGAAAAGTACTCCTGTTGAAATATTGATAATGTCGTGTTCCATTCTTTCGGTTTGGTCACTGTCTAGCATGCCAAGTCCAAGTTGGCAACTACCCAAGACTGGGCTCCAATACTAGTCTTTTCAAGTACAATAATGATAAATATATATAGCATTAGATTGTGGGGTTAATCCAAGCAGTACTTGCCATACTAAGTACAAATGTATCAAACAATTTCTAATTGTTCTTTTGGGATGAAACTTAAAAAAAATTAAGTTTTAATTTGAGTTATAATTTTATTTGAATTTACGGTTTTTTTTTTTTTGTAAAATTTGAGTTTGAATTCGAGTTTAAGGTTAAATTTGAGTTCAAGTTTCCCTTTCAACTCGAATTTATAAACTCAAACTCAAATTAATGAACAATATTTTTTATATTCTTAAAAATACCATAATTTTTTCATTTTAATTCTGATTGAGATGATTTTTTTTCTATACATTTACAACGAAAAGACGAATAAAACTCTACCTATATACCTTATTAAAATTTTTCATCACCATTGATTTTATATTAAAATACTATCTAAATACAAATTTAAATTTTGAGCCACCCAAACACAAACTCAAATAGATTCTCAATTCAAATCATAACTCAAATGTGCACATCTAGACACAAACTCAATTTACAGCTTCAACTCAAGTTATAACTCAAACTCAACTCCAGATCATCACTCAAATTACCCTAACTCAAAAATACAAAAGAACCACCCCTAAAGTACTCATCCTACTTAATTCCCAAAAGCTAGCTAACAAAGAAACAAGTAAAAGGCAATGAGAAATGAAACAAACAAGCAAATTAACAAATAAAAGATAAGGATCAGGAAGAGCTAGCTAGCTAGCTATAATGGCGCAGGAGATCAGGCACAAACAATTATCAATATATATAATAGAAAGGTCCAAGAAAGTAACTGATGATGAACATATATAAACGAGAGTACTCTTCTGAAAGGGAAGATAAAGTAGTTGCAGATTGTGTTCCAAATATATGGCCCACTAAAATTAACGCCCCTCTTCAGAGGGATTGCTTCTTAGCCATACATCTATCTTTTTCTCAAGGTTTCATTATTAAAAAAAAAAAAAAAAAAAAAAAAAAAAAAAAAAAAAAAATTTCTCAAGATCAGAGAAGCAGCTCAAGATTCCATGTAATTGATCACCTAAACTTATCCAATATGGGGTCTATATATCATCCACCTTGCACATTGTGTCACATCTTTAGCGGTGAGATTCCATTATGCTTAATGTATACCTAATACCTGCATACAATTATACTATGGAAGCCTATATATATATATATATATACATTTGCACAAAAATTAGACTATATATTAAGGATTAATTCAAAGAGTGCCATAACTTCTTTTTCTATGTGTATGAAATAAAATAAATGAAAGAAAACAACATTTTCGTTGAGGATCATGGAGTGTTATAGCTAATTACGATATTAGAACATGGTTTGGCCTGCATTAATTAATACTAATCATCGATCATCGATCGTTAACAGCACCGTTTAAGGTCGGGCCTGCATGACTCCCCTCATGCCAAGTAGGAAGTTCGCCAACGCTCTTTGACAAACTCCCTACATGGCATTCAGGGAGCCAGGCAAGTATGTCAACTCTCGACGATAATATGAAGTTAATAATTCAGATTAGAATTTACCTGCGACAGGAATTGACACAGAGAAAATGTTCGAACTAATGTTATATTTCCTTCCAAGCTTTCTTCTGAATGGAAAAAGATAAATAAACTATGCTTGAATATCTCAAATGAATTACTTACTAGAAATGATCCTCATGTGCTTAGAGATGTAGAATATAACCTTCTAATTACAATCTTTGCCTTTGATCTATAGCAGCTGATTTGCTAAGAAAATAACTGCCTTTCAGAGGACCACCACCCATTTTGACAAAAGAAAAAAACTGAGAAAGAAAGAAAGAAGAAGAGAAAGAAAAGGAGAGGAGAGGAGAGGAAGAAACGTATATAGGAAGCATATATATATATATATATAGTTAGAAGATAAGATTTGGGCTTTGGCTAACTCTATATATAGTACTACTCTTTGCCTTGGAAGCAAATATATGTATATGTATATATATTTATATATATATAGTGCAGTGGGAATGGATATAAAGAATGGTTAAAGGAGAAAGAGTGACGAAGCTGAGACAATAGAAAGTCCATGGAGAAAGAGAGAAGACAGGTCGTAGAGAAGGCGGCAGACAAATCTTTATTTATTCAACAAATAGTACTTCCATAGATAGAGCCAAAGCTGCCTGGGTTTTACAGGTAGCCTCTTTTGGATTTTCCTTCCCTTGGAAAAGGTGATAACACTCGAAAGAATTTCCTTTTCATTTTATCTAATATGATTTTGTTTTTCCTTCCGAGATTTTAATAGCAAGTCTTGAAAAATTGAACTTTCAGTAGTTTTTTTTTTTTTTTTTTTTTTTTTTTTTTTTAAAAATTTTTTTTTTTCTCTTTTTTTTTTTTGATGTGAAATAAACAAGATTCAATGAACAAAAATATACACTATTAATAAAACAACCCTACCGTATAAGCATCATCTTCCCTTTCTTTCAATATTAATAGAGTTATATATTTGTATGTGTACATGTAACAACTGTAAGTGATCATCTTCATGAAATTTTTTTTAGTTTTTTTTATCCTTTTTAATTTATTTTTCTGTTCAATTAATTTAAGAAAACAATTTAAAAAGGGCGTAGTTATTGAGATAGTGAGTTCAAAAATGAAGTCAATATTTTATTGGTCAGAGAGGTTAACGGCCTTTGAAGGTCTCTAGACGTGGCCACAAAACCAGAGAATAAGACAAAGGCCAGTTTTGCAGTGTGCGTTGGCTTGAATTCAGTCTGGTTCCTAAAACGTGAGTTTTGAATGCAAAGGAATAAACGTTTACCAATAATCAACAAAAACTGTCAACTTTTCACCCAAAAAACAAACAAACACATACTGTCAACGTTTCACAGATCCAGCATTGAACTCGTTTGTTTTAGAGGATGATAGAGATTGTTTTAGAACTTGAAAAGGTTAGAGAGCTTCTCTGATAACTTAGAAAAAATAAACTACCGGTTGTTATCTATATCAGAAATTGTCCGTTTTGTATACATTTTTTTTTTTCAATCTGATATGATTTTAACCTAATATAATAGTCAGAAACTGACACTATTGATAAAACTGGCCTACTAGAAAAACTCCCAAAAGATTACTAATATTCTTAGTCTTCCAAATATAAGTATTATAACACTTTAATCCTTAAACTTATTGTTGGCAGATTACTCTCTAAAATTAATCACCGGTGGTTTAAGTAGTTTATGTAGTAAATACACATAATATGTTGTCATAATGGCTAGCCATTGTTTTAATTATTACTTATAGTTTGAGCTTTTTCAAATGATAAGCGAACTTCCTTCCTTCTTTCAATTTTCCATCTCATGAAAAGGAAGATCAATAATTGATGCATGCCACTTTTTATTTTTCTTTTCTTTTTTGTTATTGATGGCGCCAACTATATTAATGAGTATTATAATCCGATGAGAACCTATAACTCCTCTAGTCATTTCCAATTGGTGGTGGGTGTTCTACAACATTTTCTCATGTTTTAATTAATTATAAGAAAACCTTTCATTTTCCGGTCCCCGCTTACTTTTCTTTGTTTTTCTTTCAAAGTTGTCATCAATTAATAAATCTCAAAATGAAAAGCAGAAAGTACTTTTCTTTGTTTTTCTTTCAAAGTTGTTATCAATCAATTTCTTTGTTGACCGGTCATTTCCTTACTACAAGGAGAAGAAGTGCCCCATAAAGTACTTGTCAAAAGACTCAAAACCACGAAAGAACGTTTTGCCTTTGTTTCTTCCTGGATCTTTCTACTCACAAGTTCTATCATAGTTTCAATAATAAAATTCCTCTAAATATGTCGTCCAAATGTGTAAAAGATAAATTATCAATTTTTCTTTTAATTTTATAAGTTTATTATAACTTAACACAATTTTAACATTTGAAGTTCATAAATTCTAACATAAAATGCACATATTTCATATTTAAGCCGGTTCCCAACTACATAAAAGTTTTTTTTTTTTTTTTTTGTATTTCTTTTTTTCTCTTTCTAATTAAAACAAGAAAGAGATGAAAAGGTGAATACATAGTTCTCATGACACTTTCTTGCCATGGGGGTTCTACCTGGCACCAATGAAGTATCTATGTGACCGTCTTTCTAGGATTGACTGCCATTTTATTGGTTGAACAAAACATTATATTTTTAAGATTTTATGATTTTGGTACTTTGTATTTGAATGTAAAATCACATTGGTACCTTGCTATTAGGAAAATATTAAAATCTCATCGTGTCCGATACCCTAAATATGTTTTTTGAGACATTTTCCTTTCCAACTAATTACTTTTATTAATGAATCCCAGATCGATTTCGCAAAATTATTAAAGAAAACTAAAAACAATAAAGTAAACATGGGTCCGTTTAGTTCGCTGATTCGAGTTTTTAATTCGGGTTTAGATGTGACGTTGTGTGAGAGCTTTTTACTGTAACAAAAAAGTTAGATGTGACTATTTATGAGAGCTTTTTACTGTAGCAAAACTCGAATTCTAAACTCGAATCAGCAAAATGAACGGGCCTACGTTTATTTGTTTTTAGTTTTCCGAGCTTTTTTTTTCACCCTTAACATTAGGTTTAGGTTTTTCTATTGAAGTTATGTTAGGTTTGTTTTAGGGCTTGTTCTTTTGGAGTTTAACTTGAGTATGATTCTTGAGTTAAATTTGAGTTATAACTTGAGTTGAACTTATAACTTAAGTTTGTGTTTGGTTGTGTACATTTGAGATATGGTTTGAGATAAAAATCTTTTTGAATTTGTGTTTGAGTGAGTCAAAACTTGAATTTATTTTTAGATAGTATTTTAATAAAAACTCAATACTAATGAAAAATTTTAATAGGATATATGGGTCGGGTTTTATTCGTCTTTTCGTTGTCAACGCATAGAAAAAAAATCATCTCAATCAGAATTAAAACGAAAAAATTATAGCATTTTTAAGAATAGAAAAAATATTGTTCATTAATTTGAGTTCGAGTTTCTGAACTCGAGTTGAAGGGGAAACTTGAACTCGAGTTTTAGTCTTAAACTCGAGTTTGAACTCGAGTTTAAATTTGAGTTTAAACTTAAAAGAACATGAACTCGAATAAAGTTGTAACTCGAGTTGTATTTTTTTGAGTTTTTCACTCAAGTGTTCAACCATTTGTCAACATATTTGTTACTTTCTCTTTTTTAAAACTAGCATTACAAAGTATTTTGTCGCTTTAACTGTCGGTTTTTTTTTTCTTTCTAAAGCGCCTCCTTAGAATATGTGTCGCCATTTAATTTTTTTTCAAGAAAGTCATAGATTTATAGATTTTACGGCTTTCTTAAGTTATTGTCGTTTTAAAATTGTTATTTCAGGAGACGTCATGTAAAATGTTGTCGTTTACATGGTATTGTAATTTTTTTTAGAAAGAGATTGTCGTTTTTTAGCTTTTAACCCACGGGCCACGTCTTACCCTACTGCTTCCAGACACCGGTGCCCGCCAGTGCCAACCTACGTTGCCTGGTGCGGCGGTATCAATATAAACATAAAATCTTATTATTGCCTAATTATATTATTAATTTCCTTGCATTTCTAAAAAAATTTTGTTCTTTTCTTTTTTTTTTTTTTGGTTTTCACAGCAAGAAACGAGAGATAACGCAGGCAATGTAATTCAGACAGCCTACAAGGAAGAAGCGACGCCGTTTAACTATGAAAACGGCCATATCACACCGAACCGAGCCATGGACCCCGATCTGGTCTACAACCTGACCATCAACACGTCTACCTCAACCTCCTCTGCTTCGTCAGATACTCACGTACGCTTATTCAGGGCTCGTTTGGTTCTCTAATTTAAATTTTTAATTTGAGTTAAAATATAATATTTTGTGAGAGTTTGTTACTGTAACAAAAAAGTTAAATGTAACTGTTTTTGAGAGTTTTTTACTGTAACAAAACTCGAATTCTAAACTCAAATCAACGAAAAGAACGGAACCTCGAGCTTTAAGAACATGTTTAGTACACCGTATAAATACTATGTATTATATTGTTTAATAATAATATAATATTTGGTGGCATTTATACATTGTATAATTTAATATGATATTTAAAATTAATACAACACGAAATGTGATATCTAATACGAAAAAAATTTATGTACTAGACTGTATTATGCAGTATAGCTTTTAATACCAGATACAAAATGTATAAAATATTTCACAAATATCAAGGTTTAGGGTTGGTTTTTAAGACTGATGTTGGAGTCGAGTTTCGGGACTGGAGTAATGTTGGGTTTATAATTTTAAAAATTATATTTTAACCCATCAACTCTTCAAATATTATATTTTGACCCCTAAAATTTTAAAAAATTATATTTTAATCCCTCAATTTTTTAAAATTATATTTTGACCCCTCAACTTTTTTAAAATTATATTTTCATACCCTATTTAAAAAAAATTACAATTTGACTCTTTTTTTAAATTTTTTTGTAAAAAGACCCCTATGTAGCAAGTCTACTTTCTCCCTTGCTTCCTCCAAATGTTGGGTTCAGGTCAAGATTATAGTCGAATTTGGTTATGATTAGGCTTAAATTCTACCTTATTATAAACTAATATGTAAATAGATTATAATAGTGAAAATAGTATAATGTTTAATAATACAACCAACCAAATACCGTATTATATACAAATTATACAATACTATATGAAACGATGCAATACAATATAATACGGTGCACTAAACATGCCCTAACAGCAAGCCTAATTACAGGTGTCCGGCCAAGAACATCACCGTTTTGGAACTCAACTATCTTTCCGTGTCGTCCAATTTACTTTGAAGGCCCCTTTTTTTTTTAAATCGAGAAATCTAACGCTTTTCTTAAGATGTTGATGTTTTGGTATCTTTGTTGTTTAGAGGGGAGGGTGTCTTTAATGCAATATTTTCTGTCTACGAAGTCGTCATTCATGTGATAGGGTTGTCGTTATAGCACACGCTGTCATTTATCAAATATTTTGTCGCTTTAACTTCAGGTTTTTTTTTTGTTCCTGACTTCCTGCTTGGCTTATTCGTTGTCGTTTTAAGAAATTCATGGTTGCGTTTGGAATTGGTTCCAAAATGATTTTGTTTTCTGTATGAAAATGGAAATGAAAACGTTTTTATTTTCATTTTGGAATTATTTCTGAAAATGCATTTGGTAGTTTTATTCAGAGATTGATTTCAGTTTTAAGAAAAACTAAAACTGCGTTTGGTGGTTTAATTTTTAAAAATATATAATAGTATTTAAAATAAAACCAATTCCCACTCTCCACAGTAGTCACTACAAATTAAATCCCAAAAATCAATTCACTTCAGAAAAATCTTAAAAATAAAAATAAAATAAAATAAAAACTTTTTCTTAATTTGAAAAACGACAACAAAACACCAAAAACGACAACAAAACATCAAACTGACCAAAGCTTCCCCCATTTTCGTACAAACACCCCCAGTCTATAAAGTCCTCACAAGTCACAACCCCCATTTTAGCTCATATTACTACTATTACTATTTCTATCACTATTGCCAAAAAAAAAAAAAAATTCCCATATGCATTTTTTTGGAGTTTTTGTGGATTTGTGGAAGTGGGGTTTTCTTTTTGCGGCATTTTTTCTAATACCCATTTGAGTTAAGGCGATTACGGCAACGGCAGATGAAGTTCTCCAGCCAAAATTACCAGAAAACGTTGAAGTTTCCGACGACTCGCTGTCAGAGCTTCTTGTTCTTGCGGTTGATGATAGTCTTGTGGACAGAAAGGTAATATCCCCCCAAATTTCACCTCGTGGTGGCGGACACCGACAGACGGTTGCCGGCGTTGATGGCAGACAAGAGAGAGAAGAGAATGGGAAGAAGGAGAAATCTGAGAAAATGAAAAGGGAAAAATGAAAACGACTTAAAAGCGTTTTCAGAAATGTTTAACTTTTTGGGATAAATACAAAACCGTTTTCATTTTTCATTTTTGTACGATTTCTTCCAAACACGATTTTCAAAGTATTTTCATTTTTTTTTCAGAAAACGTGAAAAACGTTTTCAAAAATGAAAACAAACACGCCCATATGTTTTAACAGCTTTCTTAAGTTATTGTCGTTTTGAAAGTGTTATAAACTTAAGAACTGTTATTGTCGTTTTAAGTTTGTTGCCGTATTTCGTTTTAAACTGTTGATAACAGCTTTTTTTTTTTTTTTTTTTTTTTTTTTTTTAAGTTATGGGCATTTAATCGTGATGTCAAGAGCCACGTTGTTGTCGTTTTCCTATTATTTGGTCTTTGTTTAGGACGTCGTTTTATATATATATATATATATATACCCGTCATATTCTTTTAGCAATTATAGTACATGGTAGTGCTTATCAATAGTCCATAGTGCTTCTGTAGTTATTTGTGGCATTCTAATGATTAATTGTTATAGTCACTGAGTGTTAATGATATAAAAGAAAATATCAGAACTAGTGCGATTTACATTTTTTTTTTTTTCAAATTAAGGACGCTTTGAATTTTTGTTTTGTACTAGAAAAAAAAAAATTAACCTTAGTAAAATCTCTTGTGTTTATCCAAAAAGAAAAATATAGGATTGCCTTTTCTTGTTTTCTGCTCACATGTAATTTAAATTTTAAAAGGCAACGCAAGGAGCCTAATGTTAAGGAATTTCAGAGATCATGCAAATTTGAAAATTGATAGTAATCTACTTTTTAAAAACAATATCAGATTCTGTGAATCTCTTTTTACGCGATAGTCCGGGTAGTTACTTCGACTGAAAAAGTTGCCGTATATTAAAACGAATGAGATGAGCAGTATCTAGAATTCAGTATTTAATTTAATTTGAAATAACTTAGTAGTATTTAAATTAATTAAGCCAAAGGAACCAAATTAATATGCATGGGATCAAATTTTGCTCCACGGGGTTTTTTTTCAGAAAATCTTATAAATATAATTCGTTGTAACAATTTTCCAAAACAGTTTTAGGATACTATCGTTATGATCGCGTTAGTCTTTTGAGTTTTGAACCGATAGAGATTTTTTTTTTCCGCTTTAAAAAAAATATTTGTTTTCAACCTACAGATATATCTATTATAGTCCTAGTTATGCATTTATTTTTCAAAGCATTATCACCTTAATATTTCAATGAGACTCCATATATATATATATATATATATAGGTATACATTCCATGAGCTAAGGCTTTTTAGGTTTTAATTCTTTTAGAGTATTTTTCTATTGGTGGTCGATAGGGTTTAACCAAAAGAACAGAGAATGGGGCTTCTAAAGCCTTCGACTATCATCCAGTTTCTCATTCTTTTTTCTCTCCTCCATATTCCAGCTCTTGCTGCAAAACAAGTATTGAATTCTTCTGTTTTTTTTTTCTTTTTTTTTTTGGTCACTAAAACTCCTGTATATATCATGGAGTTTATACACTTGTACTAACGTTGTTTTTTCTTGCTTATATATGATGCTAAAAGCCTTATATAGTGTACCTGGGCTCACATGCACATGGACCTAAGATCACAGAAGCTGATCTTGATCGTGTGGCTGATTCTCATTATGAACTACTTAGTTCCTTTCTTGGAAGGTATATCGCTCGATTTTGTTTTTTGTTTTTTTGTTTTTCTTATATTTTTACACGTTTTTGTTTTCCTTTTTGCTTATAATTTTCTCTTCTAATAACTGTAGTTTCTTGTGACGATGCAGCAAAGAGAAGGCTAAAGAGTCAATCTTTCTCTCGTATAAGAGAAATATCAATGGTTTTGCGGCCTTTCTTGAGGAGGAAGAGGCTGCCCAAATCGCTAGTAAGAGTTCAGATGTTAATTATTAATCACTCATTATAATGTGAAACTATAATCTTTCTTGGACATTTTAAAACCATAAATTATTTCTCACAATTTGGTATAAATTACATATTACATGTTAACTTGTTCCTATTCATTTTCTCCACATACCATTTTTTACCACGTCCTGTGAACTATTAAGCTATTATCTTTAACATATTTTATGTTATTAGAACGTTAATTTCTAGCAATTAATATTTCAGAGCACCCGGGAGTTGTATCGGTGTTCCTCAACCAAGGAAGGAAATTACACACCACGCATTCATGGAATTTCATGATGCTTGAAGATCAGAAGGGTTTCCCTATTCGTAATTCCATTTGGAGGAAGGCCAAGTTTGGAAAAGACACAATCATTGCTAATCTTGATACCGGTATATATATATACGTTCTCTCTTTAATTTGCCACTTCATTTGCTTTTCATAATTCATGATTTTTTTTTTAATCAATGACCATTCTTCATATATTCTATTCAATATTTCATATTTGTTTATGTTTGAGATTATCAATTTGGCAATTTGGTTAAAAAAAAGTTAATAAATATTTATCTGATATTTTTTTAAATGAATCAAATATGTTCATTTCTTTGGTGCAATTCCCTTTAATAGATGGACTAGTAAACAGTTTCTTTCTTTTTTTTTTTCTTTTTTTTATGTTAGGTGTTTGGCCCACGTCAAAGAGCTTCGACGATAAAGGCTATGGACCAATTCCATCAAGGTGGAAAGGAACCTGCCAGAAGTCTAAGGATGGATTCGCTTGCAACAGGTTTGGTAGTGATGTCGATTTTAAAAAATTATTGTTAATTGTGCTAAAAAAAATAGTTGAGTGTTTAGTAAATTGTAATTATATAAGTATTGATTTTAAAGGTATTATGGGTATTATGAAAGTTTCATTAATTGTATTTTAAAATAATTGCGCACAATTTAAAAATTAAAGTTATCTTTGGCTATTTCTGATTTTAACTGTAAATTCTTCAAAAATTCTTTAAGAATCACTTTTTATGGTTTAGATCAAATATAAATTTCGACTGTGAATGACTAGAGAATTAATTTTAAGCTCCAAAAATCACTAGACATACCCTAAATATTAAGTTTTTTTCCCTTCCAAAAAAAAAAAGTTTGTTTACAAACTAGAAGTATATCTAATTAAGTTGCTTATAACATTAAAACATCTTTCCAACTTTTGCGACTTCAGGAAGCTCATAGGAGCAAGGTACTTCAGCGAAGGGTACGAGGCATGGGGAAGGAAGCTCAACTCTACCGAAAGGACTGCACGTGACCATTCCGGTCACGGCAGTCACACTCTATCCACAGCCGGTGGTAACTTTGTCCATGGAGCCAGCGTTTTAGGCGTCGGGAACGGGACGGCCAAGGGCGGTTCACCTAGAGCCCGGGTGGCGGCCTACAAGGTCTGCTGGCCGCCGGTTGATGGCGGCGAGTGCTTCGACGCCGATATCATGGCCGCCTTTGACATGGCCATACATGACGGTGTGGACGTGATTTCCATGTCAGTTGGTGGAAAGCCTGCTGGTTATTGGGAAGATGGTATGTCAATTGGGGCATTCCACGCCGCGAAGAAGGGCATTGTGGTTGTTGCCTCTGCTGGAAACTCTGGACCAAACGCTGGAAGTGTCACAAATGTTTCACCTTGGATGATCACCGTGGCTGCAAGTACATTGGACAGAGAATTTCAAGCTTTTGTTGAGCTTAAGAATGGTTTGCGCCTTAAGGTACTTTTTTTTTTTTCCTATATTTAAATACACACACGCATATATTTCGTGTTCCATTATTTTTAATCAGAAGTGACCTACAATATGATGAAATTTGAAGTCTTTTGTTCACCTCATAATACCAGATAATTTTAGTATGTACTCAGTCCTTAACTTTTTTTTTTTTCTGGATTATGATTAACATTCTATGGTTATTATTATTTTTATTTAAATATATACTACCAGGGAACAAGTCTTTCCCCGGCTTTAAGAGCAAAAAAATTCTACCCTCTAATCAATGGTGCACAAGCTAAGGAGGCTAACGCTTCTATCGACGACGCGTAAGAATTAATTATAAACGTTTTGTTCCATTATTGCTTCTTTTTTTTTTTTTTTTTTTTTAACCATCTTGTGCTAATTGTTAATACTCTCTTTTACATGTCTTGTATTTTTTAGCATCTTGTGTAAGACTGGTACATTAGATCCTACCAAGGTCAAGGGTAAGATCTTGGCTTGTTTGAGGGGTGAAAATGCAAGAGTTGAGAAGGGCCTAAATGCTGCTCGTGCCGGAGCCGTCGGGATGATACTTTGCAACGACGATTTAAGCGGAAATGGCGTCCTCGCCGATGCTCATTTTCTCCCAGCATCACATCTTACTTACGAGGACGGTCAATCTTTACTTCAATACATTAACACCACAAAGTATGTTCTAATTCCTATGTACATATTTTCTTTTCTTAAAAGAGCACATTCCTTAGATATCACACACTTTGTTTAATTAAACTTTTTTTTTTTTTGGGTCATGATATATCACACAGAAATCCACAAGCTACTCTATTGCCTCCAATTGCAACCTTTGGCTCTAAGCCTGCTCCATCCATGGCATCTTTCTCTTCTACTGGTCCCAACACTGTTACACCAGAGATCCTTAAGGTAATTATTTAATTTAATATAACATTTGGTTACAACATGAATGCACCAGAAACCCAATTCTCTGAACTTTTTAGATCTCGTTCATTTCACCGATTTGAATTTAAAATTCGAGTTTTGTTACAGTAAAAAACTCTCATAAACAATCACTTCTAACATTTTTACTACTGTGAAAAACTTACATAAAATCACATCTCAATTTAAATTAAAAATTTGAATCAACAAACAAGCTTTTAATATGCTCTCTCTTCATTATGCATGTAACATATTACGTTGACTTTTTTCCAGCCTGATATCACTGCGCCTGGAGTGAGCATCATAGCTGCATACAGTGAAGCTGTTAGCCCAACTGGCCTAGAATTCGACAAGCGCCGGTTCCCTTTCAACGTCGAATCCGGTACGTCAATGTCGTGCCCTCATGTCGCCGGAGTCGTTGGCCTCCTCAGGACAATCCACCGCGACTGGTCCCCCGCCGCAATTCGCTCAGCCATCGTCACCACCGGTATCAATATTCATTCATTATCTTATTAAGGCCTGATCACCTTCTTTCCTTCCATTTTTTTTTAAAAAAATTTTAATTTATTTTTTTGGGGTTGGTGCACAGCAAGAACGAGAGATAACACCGGAAACTCAGCGAAGACCGCCTTAAAGCAAAAGGCATCGCCGTTTAACTACGGCAACGGCCATATCCGACCGAACCGAGCCATGGACCCCGGTCTGGTCTACGACCTGGGCACCAACGACTACCTCAACTTCCTCTGCTCTCTCGGATACAACAAGACCCAGATTCAAGCCTTGAACGACAAGCCTCACAAATGCCCCGCCAAGAACGTCACTGTTTTGGACTTCAACTATCCTTCCGTGACGGCTCCGAATCTCTCTGGTTCCGTGACCGTTACTCGGACAGTGAAGAACGTTGGACAGCCGGGAACCTACGTTGTCAAAGTGCACGAACCTGTCGGAGTTTCGGTGTCTGTGGAGCCCAAGATCTTGGAGTTTAAGCACCATGGAGAAGAGAAGAGCTTCAGAATTACTCTCAAGGATAGGGGATATGGTTTGAAGGGATACCACTTTGGAGTGTTTGTTTGGACTGACGGCAAGCACTACGTCAGGAGTCCTATTGTCGTCCAAACCGTCACTAAGGAGTAAATTTCAATATTATTCTATTTGATTGCAATACTGGTATAGGTTTTTTAAGTTTTTCCATCTTTTATTTATTTATTTATTTTTATATTAGGTTTAGGTTTTCCATTTCAAATTATGTTAAGCTTTAGTTGTTTAGTCGGATGTTTGGTTCAGCTATTTGAACCATTCGAATTGCGCTTAAAGATTTAAATTAGTGAACTTCTTTTGAAAATAGAGATAAGCCATTCAAACCATCAACTATAATTTAAATAGTTGATTTTAGAATTCATACTCTCTCTAAAATCACAATCTGCATAGTTCACAACAGTTCAAATACAATTGTTTTTACTTTTTTTTTTTTTCTCTTTTCAACTTCAGCTTAAAAATATTATAATTTCTTCATTTCAACTTTAAATGAGATTATTTGTTTCCATCTTTATAATGAAAAGAAAAATAAATCTTCATCTATTTTACATATTTAAATATGTCGTTTACAATCAAATTTTATAACATTTATTACAAAATTCTAACGAATCTCCGACCTTTTGTCATATGTGGTTCAAAAAAGTTAATGGTCTTTAGGTACTTCCCCTATCTATTTGCATTTTTCTTTTCCAGTTTCTTTACTCAAAGTAAAGCCATTTCTTTCCTTAAAAAATAAAATAAAACTATGTCAAATGAAAGAACCCCCTCGTACAAAAAGAGAGAAAAATGTAAATAGATTTTTATTTTAAAAACAACTAGTGGGAGGATGAGAGAGGAAACTGGGAAAGAAAAGATGATAATTACATAACATGATAAATATTATACTTTGAGTTGAAATTTAACAAAAAATTTAAAATATTATAAAAGTAATGAAAATGACATAGTAATTATGGTAATGGTGTCATAGTTTGTACTATTTTAAAAACATTAAAAGTTCTTGTAATATTTCAAAAAAAAAAAAAAAGAAAACGTAAATACAAAACAACAAGTGGCCAATAAAGCCGAACAGGAGAGGAAATTGGGCCAAACTAAAGGGTCTATTTGCAATAGGAAAAATGAGACAAACACCTGTTTAGGTTTCATTAATCTTAATTTTAACTGTTTATTTTTGAGTCTGTTCATTTTATTAACTCAAATTTATTATTTGAGTTAAAAAATTAAATTTGAGTTGTAAAAAATTTGAGTTTAATTTAAAATTTAGAGTTTAGTGTTTAGGTATTGATTGATTTAACATTTAAAACTTGAGTTTTGTGTTTACTTATACAAATGTCAAACTCCAATTACAACCCAACATTCGCATGCATTTATGTTCTCTAAACGTGAACATTCACCCAATTAGCACAAAATTAATTGTTCTTCATAAATATATATATAAACACACACACACACACACACACATATACACAAACATGTAATAATCTATCCATTATAAAGGCAACAAATCCATTCTAAAGAAAGTCCAACTTCTGATCTAATTAGTTAACAAACGCATCTGAATATATGGTTCCCAAGTAATACATATGTAATAATCTATCGATGACGATTATTTTCGAATGCAGTCCACATAGTACTAGCTATTTCGTTACAGAGTGAGTAGATCATCATTGTGGTTGTATATATGTATGAAATTGTGTCGAACGGCACAAGCAAGTGGAATGGTTATCTGTGTCTCTATTGGGTAGTTATTAATGCATTTAAGTATACGAAACTTGGCTTTTCACACGCCGAATGTGCGCTCGATATAATTCCTTAGGGAAAAATGAGTGTAATTGAACAACTTACACTCAGTTTGGGGCCGACCACGCCTTGCCCGAAACTCTTGAAGGTGGTAAGTGCTCCCCCGGTACGGCGCCAAGAAACAAACATTGTTTGCATGTCCATAGTCTACGAGGTAATATATACTTGTGGTGTGAGTTAGAAGACATTTCGTGAATATATTAGTTCCACATGTAAGCACAAACATGTAGTAATGAAAAATTATGTAAAGACCAAGCGTAAACATACCTTATGGTGGATATGGGAAATTTTTTACCGACGTCTCCGTTGTGGATGCGAGCACACGTGCATCATGGGCAGAGCCCTCTCATCCAGCTAACATGAAGGTGAACCTCTTGTCGAACGAGCAGACCCCTAACACATTTTGAGAGTAGAACCCCTTCTTATTTTTCTATGCTTCAGGACTTGAAGGTGGTGGAACACATGGTACGTGAGTCCCATCAAGAGCGCCAACACAATTCTACATAGTAACTAACATAAACAACAACACCTGGGCATATAAACGCCCTTAAGTTTTATGGCAGTGAGTTTATCAAATAGAATAGTAAGTTGAGGCACTATACCTGAAACCATGGCAAATACTTGTTTCCATGCGCGGCTACGACGAGATCGATAATGTTGAAGTTTGGTGGTTTAAGGAAGTCAAAATGGAGCTCATACAACGCCGTTAAAACGACATGGAAATACTTTGAAATGGTAGCACCTAAATGTTGTCATTGATCTTGTGACTCCCTGTTGTTTGAACTTTGACAAACAATGTGGAGGAAAATAAAAAGCTGCTCATCCACATTCATATTCCTAGTCGGTCTTAAAAGCCCTTTAAGCTCAAGCAACGAACTAAGACGCTTAAAGCAATCACTACCCATCTTAATTTTTGACCTAATAACGTCCTTATGTCCATCAAGTAAGTATTGGACACGCATTGTACCTGTAAGTGCGGAAGTATGCTTTGACTGAGGTAGTGGTCTTTCCATATATGTGTAGTAATACCAAAAAATAACTGCTACTGCCGCAATCTCATATTCGTCGTCTGAGTCATCGCTATCATCATTTTGGGTAACGTGATTTGATAGCCCTGCATTCCACATGACTACCTATGAGAAAGTCATAGTAAAAGAATGTATATGAAAAGGTCACTGCAGCTGCATGTAAAGGTCATTACACATGAATGCATGATCTTAAAGTTGAATCCCTGAATAAAACTGTTATCTGCAATACAACTCAATAGCCACGATCAACACAACATTAGCATGGCTATAGTAGAACAAATTAAATAATATTTAGTATATTACTAAGTTCAAACATAAAGCCGATAATTGTTATATTGTAAGAATACATGACTATTGGAAACAATAATTAAGTGGAAACTCAAAGCTGGTATGGACTTCCATCGCCACCAAAGTGGCCCGTTGGCGGTGAAAAGTGAGGCATGTAGTACGGTGTTTGGGGAGTGTATGTTGCCGGTTGTTGGGGATTGTAGTTTTGAGAAATATTAGGAAATGGTGGGACAAGTTGTTGTCCCCAAAAGTTTGGAGGCCGTTGAATATTGTTGGAGGGTTGTTCTCCAAAGAAGGGTATCGCTTACATATAGTTGGTGGGTTATGACATGAAGTTGAGAAATGGTGGCGGCATAAACTGTGCCCCCATAGGGTTGTTCAAATTTGAGAAAAGTGCATGTGTTTAAGTCCGTGACATATTGATTGTTTTTGTCACGAAGAAGGCATGCTGACTCTCCATCATTTTAGCGAAAATCTACTGCATATTTAGGTACCAAGCAATGGCCTCTAAAAATGTGACAGCGGTTTTGTCATCAAGTGCCATTTCCTTAACTATTTCCTAGCACCGGTCCATGAGAGCATTAGTGGCCCCAATCTGATTCGCACTGGAGCTTTTGCTGCGACTACTATGCTTGCTTTGTATAGACGAGACAAGCCGCCCAATTAATTCCCTCACTTCCGGATCACCTGTTAACCTTTGCGAGGACTTGGTTAGTTTCTTGCCGATGACTTTCGAGGATGAGGCGATGTTGAGACCTCTTGTTGCATTATTCAAACTAGGACACATGGTGGTAATGAAGCCATCATCACTGCCACCTTCATCAGATGTCGCCCCTTCTTCATCGGAGATGGGGATTGTACCCCTTTTTACGTTTGTTGGCTTATCTAATCCCTTCTCTAACGCCCCACTTGCCCTTCTACCACTAAAGGCCTCATAGTACAAGTCAAAATTTTTAAGAGGTTGATTATTGGCCGACTTTGCCTATTTCTTGTTATGCATGAGAATGAGCAAACAAAATTAACCAAAGTGTATGCATGACTGATGCCAGACCTAACTACCCTTGGAAGAGGGAGTTTAGACATTTACCCTGGCAAAATCTTCCCAATATTCATCTGTGCACGTCACAACACCGGTTACGAGGTCCTAGCCAAGTTCTGTGTTATTGCGTAACATTAGCTCATGATCAAACTTGGCTTTCAGACGGACTTTCATCTACTGTATTTTGGCAGGGGTCACTTGATCCTTGAAAAACTCTTGAAGTTCTTTTGCCCAATCCTCTCATGCTTTAGAATCAGACTTTCATCCGTCGCATTACGATTGTAAGCTGCGAGTCGCATAAGCAACTCCTCTTTTTGCCTTTCAGTCCAGTGAAGAGTGGCTTCATCGTCGAGTTTCCCTCTCGGCATCTAAAATAACACAGAAATCAGCATCACGACACATAAAAGCGGTGACCGTACGCGGAAGTCAGATATTTAGAAAGTCAAAATTTCTTGAAAAGAAATAGTAACCAGTTATTCAAATTTCTAAGTGGCAACAATCCAAAAGTGACGCACTATTATAAATGGCTCAGAAATTTTGTGCAACATCACTATCATAAACAACAATCCAATTACCTGTTTTTAACACATAACAAGTGAGGCAATATTGTAAATGGCTCAGAAATTTTGTAAAAGCAATTAATTGCAACAACATTCGGAGCATCATCCTTTTGGCTACTTGGTCGTAGCTACCATGCTTCAGTGTTGTGGCCCATACTCGAGTGTAATCTACGAAGTAGTTTGAACATATTACACATCAGAGGGTCCATTACATTCCAATGAAGCGGTAACTATGTGCCATATTGCCTATAGGACGTCATTACAACGAGTGTTCTAATTTTTGAACCAATTTCATCACAGCCAACATTACCTGTTTTTAAGTCATGTGAGGTACAACAATAAACATTGACAGGAAAGTGTCGTGGCAGAAGGATACTAGAGCCATGATTAATACGACAATAGTGGGCTCAATACGACAACAAAGAAGTGACTAAAATAGATGCAAACGACAATAGTGGGCTCAAACGACAACAAAGAAGAGACTAAAGTATATGCAAACGACAATAGTGGGCTTAATACGACAACAAAAAGGTGACTAAAGTATATGCAAATGACAATAGTGGGCTCAAACAACAACAAAGAAGAGACTAAAGTAGATGCAAACGACAATAGTAGGCTCAACACGACAACAAAGAAGAGACTAAAGTAGATGTAAACGACAATAGTGGGCTCAATATGACAACAAAGAAGTGACTAAAATAGATGCAAACGACAATAGTAGGCTCAAACGACAACAAAGAAGAGACTAAAGTAGATGTAAACGATAATAGTTGGCTCAATACGATAGCAAAGAAAAGACTAAAGTAGATGCAAATGACAATAGTGGGCTTAGTACGACAACAAAGAAGAGACTGAAGTAGATGCAAACGACAATAGTGGGCTCAATATGAAAACAAATAAGTGAGTAGAGACAAACGACAATAGTGGGCTCAATACGACAACAAAGAAGCGACTAAAGTAGATGCAAACGATAATAGTGGGCTCAGTACGACAACGTCACAATGCAAATGACAACCAATAGCTCATCATTAAACCATTCAAAACGAGGAAGAACTGCGGTGTAACCATGGCAAATCCAGTACAAAAATGGTGTATAAAACTTCAGTAAATGGAAAAGATCATACCCGGTTCGAACCAGATGAGGACAAAGGCTGATTTGCTATCACAATCCCCAAACGCAATTGTGAGGCACCACCTACAATAGTCTGAGACCGACACTGCCAATAGTAACGTCTAGACCGAAGATGACGAGTCGATGCGAGATTCCGGCGTTTGGCTCTACATCAACGCAATATTAAGGCCAACAGAGCATGCCGGTTGCCTCGCGGCGGATGAATGGTATCCGTGATGAAGATTCAAGGGCAGGGGCTGGGAACAGTTCTAGGGTTAGGCATTCAACAAGCAATCGAAGCAAACTTGATGGAAATAGGGGAGAGTTTTACCTTTTTTCACTGCGGATCTTCCTAACGAGCCAATGACCCTTCGTTCCAATTCTTACGAATCAAGCAATCGGTTCGAGCTGCAGGGAGATCTCTGAGAGAACAAGCTTTTCAAAGTAACTTTTACAGGGAATCATTTTTTTCAGAGTGAAAATCAGAAGGGGGAGGTAGGAACGAGGGTCCAACGGGAAGAAATGACTGAGTAGCAGAAGGAACCTGCACTGTTCAACTACATGGGAGCACTGTAGAAACACATTGCAGTAATAGAAAAACTACCCGTGGGTGAAACTCATCTACTTGAGTTATCACTTGAGTTTCAAACTCGAGTTGCGTTTAATGAACGCAAAACTCAGCCCAAAATCCAACTCGAGTTGGGCTTACTTGAGTGGAATATGTGAAGTGAATGGCCCCTTGATTAATACCCTTTTAGTTAAATATTATATTAATTAAAATGATATTAATTAAGAATAAATGATAAAAATTTAAAACCATGCATTATTATTGCACTATTAAGTGTAAGTTCAGTAATTTTCTTTTTGGGAATATGATTTTGTTGCAGCCTGCAACTTGTGCTTTAACACGTTACAAGGACTCTGATCCATGTGGAGTATAGAACATAGGATGGTAACCTAGGAACTGCACCGACCAAGTTCTGACGATCTTGTTATGGCCTCAGGGCAAAAATGTCCTGAAAAAATGAGAGGACATTTAATGTCCCAAAGAAGATTTGAAAATGACAAAAGAGAAACCTTAAATGTGGCCAATAATGAGCAAGCAAAAGAAAGGCTGAATTATCCATCCTTCCTCCCTATCTTATTAGATCCAACTCACGTCACACATTCTTCACAACTCTCTCCGGCCATTTCCTACTCTTTGTAACATTCATACGTTAAAAAAAAAAAGAAAGAAAGAATCACCAGTCAATCATAAGGCAATCTTCCTAGAACAATCATGATTCAAACAACCATTTTCTCTCCGAAAGCTTTTAGACTCAATTTTCACTCCTCCCCATTTCTAGCCACTAACCAGAATGTCTTCTCACGCGGGTTTGCGCTCATTAACACAAACAAGACACGGAGACATTCCATGTTTCTTAGCTCAAAACCTGTCCTCAAAGATGGCACTCTAAGTATAAGCGGCAAAGAGGCACTGACTGAGGTTCCTGAGAATGTGGTGGTTACACCATTGACAAATTCGTCGGCATTCGTCGGTGCTACTTCAACAGATTCTAGTTCTAGACATGTTTTCAAGCTTGGAGTCATTCGGTATTCATTTATGCTTTTCCTTAATACTTAAAAGTTGATTCACATATTGGTCACTTTCTCCTACTGGCGAAAAATACAGATTTGTTTCCTCTCTCGTTGGTTAGTGAAAATCAAATGCCCTTCTTTCTTGGTTACCATTTATTAGGATTTTGAGAATGAAAATAGTCGTGATCTCGCGCATCAAAACGACAGAGGCTCCCCCCATGTCGTGATAAGCCAGCAATCTTTATTGTAGTACTTGTGCTAGAAACTTAAGGCCCGTTTAGTTCGCTGATTCGAGTTAAGATGTGACTTTATGTGAGAGCTTTTTATTGTAGTAAAAATGTTAGATGTGACTATTTTTTAAAGTTTTTTACTGTAACAAAACTTGAATTCTAAACTCAAATTAAAAAAATGAACGGGCCTTAATGTATTCGTAAATAGACACAAAAGAAACCTCATAATTGACAATGGTATAGGCAGATATGCAATATGTACTGCAATTAGACCTTCAATGCACTGGTACTTTTCAAGAAAGTTTACCGGCTGTTATTTTGACTTTTGTTCATTTTAATTTACAAGTAATGTCTATAATCCTTCATTTGAATTGTATCAGTTTACAAGTATTGTACTAGGAAAAGATAAACGGCCAAATAGCATAATGTCTAGTGATGGAAACATATATCTGCGCTTTGTATTCAATTATGTCTACAAGTGAAAGTTCTAACGGGAAGAATGTGTAATGTTTTAATGGTGCAGAGATGTCAGATTATTATGTCTATTTAAATTTAGAGTATGGTGGATGATACCAAGAATTGGTAGTTCAGGAAGTGACATTCCTGTTGAAACTCAGATGCTGCTTCTCGAAGCAAGTAAAGGGACAGATTTAGATGATCAAAATGAAACTTCTTATGCCATATTCTTGCCGGTTTTAGACGGTGAATTCAGGAGCAGCTTACAGGGAAACTCATCAAATGAACTCGAGTTCTGCGTTGAAAGTGGTAATGTAATAGTTTCAGATTTTATTTCCTTCTGTATTGCAGCTTCTCGGAGGATAAACAACAATTATTCTCTTGATATTTTAGCATAAATGACATTGGGCTTTTTATGTAATTTTATATAGGTGACCCAGAAGTTGTTACTTCAGAATCTCTAAAAGCAATTTTTGTGAATTCTGGAGATCATCCTTTTGATCTAATGCAGGAGTCTATGAAGTGGGTCAGCTTTATCAAAATTTTTTTGAGTTTGAGTAGCTAGTATCATATTGAGAAAGTTTTAAACTGTTTTTTCTTATGATTCCAATAATAAACAATAGTTGATTCTCTAATTTATTGATGACTATTTTCAGGATTCTGGAGAAATATAGTGGAACCTTTGCACATAGGGAATCCAAACAGGCAACTTAACTAACCAGTTGCATCTAGAGGTCTCAATTTTTTTGGCCTCAAAAGGGAGCAAATAATCAACATGATTGTTCATGATGGATCTTTTTTCTCTTTTCTTTTCTTTTTTTTTTTTTTTTTTTCGTTCGTTTGAATGGTGCAGACGCCTGGAATGTTAGACTACTTTGGTTGGTGTACCTGGGATGCCTTTTACCAAGACGTTAATCCTCAAGGAATCAGAAAGGGACTTGAAAGGTAAAAATAGTCTCATAAGGAGTCTTTTTACCCCAGTCAATCATTGACTTGATTCTAGTTTCTTATATTAGTCAAATTTTCTAAGTTATTATTCCTGCCTTTTTTGGGCTTTTTTTGAAAAAATCTTTAAGATCTTTCTCACCAACTAGACAAACAAACACAGTTTATCCCAAGGAGGCACTCCAGCAAAGTTTTTGATCATTGATGATGGGTGGCAAGATGTCGAAAATGAGTTCCAAAAAGAAGGGGAACCTTTTGTTGAAGGGTCGCAGTAAGTTTCCTGACATTCTCCATCTTTCTCATGTTATGTTTGGAAGCAAAAGTATGTCCTTATGATTTTGTCGAAAACCTGCAAGATTTGGGGGTCGATTGGCCAGCATCAAGGAAAACACCAAGTTCCGGAGAGCATCCAATGATGCTCAAAGTGAGGCGCCAACTGATCTAAAGAGTTTTGTTTCAGAAATCAAGAGTACTTTTGGCCTCAAGTAAGGTTTCCATACGTTCATATCTTAACATAACTAACGATGGTATTTGGAGATTATGATGCACAATTCTTGCAAAATGAGATTCATGTGAAATTCTCAGTGAAATCCATACATCTTTGTTGGTTTCTAGAAAAGGAAGTCTCTTACATTTCTACTACAAAAAAAAAAAAAAAAAAGTTTATCATTCACATTAAGTTTTTCGAAATTTTCAGGTATGTTTATATGTGGCATGCCCTATTGGGATATTGGGGAGGACTTGTTCCCAATGCCCCGGGGACCAAAAAATATAACCCAAAGTTAAAATACCCGTTGCAGTCACCTGGGAATTTGGCAAACTCGAGGGATTCAGCCATGGATGGCATGGAGAAGTATGGAGTTGGCGTAATTGATGCCGAAAAAGCACATCAGTTTCTTGATGATCTTCACAGATATCTTGTTTCACAGAATGTTGATGGGGTTAAGGTTGATGTTCAGAACATATTGGAGATGGTTTCAGCTGGTTTTGGAGGCCGGGTCTCTCTTACTAAGCAGTTCCAACAGGCACTTGAGAAGTCCATCGCAAGCAACTTTCAAGACAATAGCATAATCTGCTGCATGGGTCAAAGCAATGACTCCGTATACCAGTATATTACTCGTGCTTGTTTAAACCATAAACTACAATTATTTATCATGTTATACATTTAACACATATCTTTTGGTGTTGCAGTTCAAAAAGAAGTGCTGTAACACGAGCATCGGACGATTACTATCCCAAAAACCCGGCAACGCAGACGTTGCACGTAGCTGCTGTGGCATACAACAGCATATTTCTTGGAGAAGTTTTTGTCCCAGATTGGGACATGTTCTATGTAAGACACGAATTTCTTAACTGTTTAATTCTACTATTCCGCTTTCTTTCAGTAACTAATAATGTACTTATTGAACTTTTAGAGTCTGCATGATGCAGCTGAGTTTCATGCTGCTGCTAGAGCTGTGGGAGGTTGCGGGGTCTATGTCAGGTAAGATTCTTTTCAATACACTGCTGATATTTCTTTTGTTAAGCTTCAAAAATCCCTTACCATTTCTGTTACAACATAAATTTTTTTCAAAAAAGCAGTGATAAACCAGGCCACCACGATTTCGAGATACTTAAGAGGCTAGTACTTCCTGACGGGTCAATTCTCAGAGCAAAATACCCCGGAAGGCCCTCACGTGATTGCTTATTCATTGATCCAGTTATGGATGGAACAAAGTATGCCAACCTTTCCAATTATCTGCATAAGGGATTTTGCATGCTTCTTTTGTTTTCTTTTCTTGTTCTTTTGTTTTCTGATTAGTTTATCTGGATTTTTGTATAGTCTTCTGAAGATATGGAACTTGAACAATTGCACTGGAGTTCTAGGAGTCTTCAATTGCCAAGAAGCAGGAATTTGGCCTTGTCTTAAAAATCCTGTTAAGGCAAATGTTAATGCTGCTAAGATATCTGGGCAAGTCTCTCCTGCAGATATCGAGTATTTTGAAGAAGTTTCTGGGACACACTGGACTGGAGATTGCGCAGTCTTTTCCTTCAGCTCAGGTAAAGTTATTCTACTTTTCTATTCCAATAACATGTTGTTGGGTGTGTAGAGCCTAATTATAGCCCTCACACAGAGTTAGTACACAGTTTTGGGAATCGGAGACGATGGAAATACAAAGAGTCAAATAGGTGCAATCTTCTTTTTCATCATAGTGAAAACCTACAATGCCTAGAAGAGAACTCAACTACTATAAATTTTGTATGTGTTTGCATGCCTTCAGTTATACAATTAATCTCGTTAATAAAGGATTAGGGAGTTTAATACATAACATAGCTATAACGCATAGAACTCACACCCTTTTAGCCAAAGAAGAAGAAGAAGAAGAAAATATGTTTGATTGTGTATTACTAATTCAATGTAATCTTTATTGATTTCAGGGTCTCTGTCTAGGCTGCCAAAGGATGAATCTCTTAACATCACCTTGAAAGTTCTCCAATGTGACGTCCTTACTGTGTCTCCCATCAAGGTTTTGCTTCTCTAACTATCACATAACTATTTATACAAATTTTTTTTTTTCTTTTTCTTATGTGCTATTTGTGATTAATTTGCAGGTTTAATAACTATCACATAACTATTTATACACAATTTTTTTTTTCTTTTTCTTATGTGCTATTTGTGATTAATTTGCAGGTTTACCATCAAAACATTGAATTTGCACCTATTGGATTAGTAAACATGTACAACTCTGGTGGAGCTGTTGAGAGAATTGACTTCTTCAGCGATTCGTCGAATAACGAAATACGAATTGTGGGAAGAGGAACTGGTAGTTTTGGAGCATACTCCACTACAAAGCCCAAGCATTGTTCAATAAACTCAACGAGTGAGGAATTCAAGTACAGAAGTGAAGACAATCTTTTGACAGTGACAATTCCGGACGCAACCATTAATTGGGACATCACTTTCTATTACTGAAGCCTTCATTCTTTTTTATCAGGCAAAGCCTTAGCAACAAACTACTGCTTTTAGTAAAAATGGTGTTTATGACTTTTGAAGGGCCGCCACTAATTAGCACCAATCAAAAGAAGAATATGTCTTTTGACTTATTAGTTTGCTGTAAATATTGTCATAAAAGGCCTTAACTTAATGAAATGATGTACAAGTTGATTCATTTGATTTCTCATCAGTGTAAATTGTAAAAGCTTATATGATGCTATAAACACAAGGTCCGTTCTTTTCGCTGATTCGAGTTTTGTTACAATAAAAAGCTCTCAGAAACAGTCATATTTAACTTTTTTACTACAGTAAAAAGTTCTCACATAATATCACATCTCAACTCGAATTAAAAACTTTAATTAGCGAACTGAACGTGCCCCAGTCTCTGCTGTTTTTAAAACTTTATGTTAGCTTCTTAAGTGACAGCAGCTCTGGATAAGTACAACATCTATTGTGGTCTCTCTCCTCGATGCATGCCTCAGCACTTGAAAGGTCAAATTTTATCTCTAAATAATAGGTTTTGTCATCAATCTTCTTCCCTAAAAAAAAAAAAAAAGCTTTTTAGATAAACCCTTCTCATGGTACACAATCTTGTCGATAGTGCACATTTTTTAATGTTTGATTAAAATCTCTTTAAAGTAAAAAAGTATATAAAAGAAATAAAATTTAATGCAGATTTAACGGTCGAAAATAAAACTTAATTTATAAAGTATTTTATAATTCTCGATAAAAAAGGGTTATTTATTAGTCAACTCATAAGTTTTTTTCCCTCTCTTATTGGGGAGTACTTATCTGTTGCACGAACATATATGCTTAACAGCTAATAAAACACCTTTCATCAAGACGTAAAAGAGAGAGAACACATGTAAACCCAATTATTTACTATTATCAAGAAAATGCTTCAGAGCGCCAATTTGATCAACTATTGCTCCAACGATCAATTTGTTCACTTTAATGTATTATTATAAATTATAATTATAGTTACTTAGCAAACCTTGAAGCTTGATCACCTTCCCCACCTTTACTATATTCTGCTAGTTATTGCCCACATTCTATCTTATACATAGACTTATCCGCATATGTGAAAAATACACACTTTTGCTTCGAAAGAAAGAAGCTTCCGATCAAGCTAGAAAAATGAGGAAAAACAAGAAAAAAAAAAAAAGAAAAGAAAACACTTTAGTCCCGTTCATTTCACCGATTCGAGTTTAAAATTTGAGTTTTACTACAATAAAAAGTTCTCAGAAACAGTCATATGTGTCTAATATTTTTACTACAGTAAAAAATTCTCACATAAAGTTACATCTTAACTTAAATTAAAACTCGAATTAACGAACTAAACAGACGTTTTATTCATTTAAAAATAATAATGTAGAAGGATTTTTTTTTTTTTTTTTAGTGAAGAAGGATCGTTTTTCATTATTCTTATTTAGAGAAATATTAATTGTTATTAATGAAGAAAAAATAAATAAACAGGCTGCGTAAACTTGTGGGCCACAATAGCGTGGATTATGGGCCAATATGGGCTCTAATTTCTACTTTGTGAAATTTCTTCGCGATCGGGTGAAAGAAGAGGCGACAGCGAGGAAACGAGAGATCGGCGAGAAGAACGAGTTTGCTTCGCTGTAACGGTTCTCATTTTTAGCTTTCATTAATTCTCAATTCTCTTATACTTTGTCTTTGCCTTTTCTTTCTTTCTTCTCCTTTGCCCTTCCTTTCTTCCCAATTATACACATATACGCATATATATATATATATATATAAATTTATATACATATACACATATTTATAGTCATATAAAATATACACGCAGGCCTTGTTTGTTTCTGGTTTTAGATTTCTGTAAAAATCAATCTTTGCGATATTTTCGTGTCCTTTTTTTCTTCTTCAATTTGACAGACAAGGGAGAGAGAGAAAGATCTCGTTGATTCTCTGTCCGGCGATCCAATAAATTCCTTGTTGATTCTGACTGTTCGTAGAAGAAAAAGAAGAGGAACATGTCGTACGCGTATCTCTTCAAGTATATCATCATCGGCGATACCGGTAATCAATCGTCTTTAGATAGGAAACATCGCTATTTCTTTTTTCTTTTTTTTTTTTTGTGTGTGTGTTATTTTTCAATTTATTTAATTGAATTGCTTGCTTCTTACTTTTTTTTTTTTTTTGAATTAGCAATTCAAATTCTATGCGATTCTATCCGATGCTCGATTTCTCTCTGAATTTGAAACCGCTTTTTACATTTTTTAGGTTTTTTTTTCTTATTATTATCAGAATAGAGGCGACGATATATTCATGGTTATAAAATGGCTGAATAATTGATTATCTTCGGGGGGTTTTTTTTTGGCAGGTGTTGGGAAATCGTGCCTTCTTCTTCAGTTTACCGACAAGCGATTCCAGCCAGTGCACGATTTAACCATCGGTGTTGAGTTCGGAGCAAGGATGATCACCATTGACAATAAGCCTATTAAGCTCCAAATTTGGGACACGGTTTGTTCCTTCTTCTAATCATTCTTCCATTTTGTTACAAAATCAAATGTTAGGACTTGTTTAAAGGAATCCCCATAAATTTTTAGGACTTCAGGGGCTGAAACTTTATAACTTAGCCTTAAAGTTTGATGCTTTACCATTTTAGCAGTACAGTTTTCGTTCGAGCATATTTTTTTTCCTTCTATAACTAATTGTGAAAATGTTCTGTTTCGTGGGTTTCTGCTATCAAAGATTTATTAGATGCTGAACTGCTACTTTCAAATTTCCAGGCTGGTCAGGAGTCCTTTAGATCCATCACAAGGTCCTACTACAGAGGCGCAGCTGGTGCTTTGCTTGTCTATGATATCACCAGGTATTGTTTCTGTTAACTTGGGATCTTGATTAACTTGCAGACAAACAATAGAACGGTTTTAACTTTTGTATAGTAAGATAAGATAAGATGAGATACATGAGATCTTTATAACATGTGGGTACATATATATATATATATATATATATATTTTTAAAGAGGTCTTAATTGAATTGTACTATGGCATTTAAGTAGTTGGCTAAATCATCAAAATTTCCCCTACTTCTTAAAAACTTTGAAGTATGTGCTTTTATATTGTCATAACTCCTCCATTTGATGTGGGGCACTTTGGTTTGGTATAAAAGGTTATTTTCTCGTTTCAGTAACTCACTAGTCACTAAATCTAGTCCCTTGCTAGATTAAGGCATGAGGCACATGTATATAGTGGACATGAATGTGAAATGACTTTACATATTTTATCCACCTGCTAGTCAATGTGGCACCATGTACGACTGGTTAATGCTGTTAGTGAACTTATAGTTAATTTAAATACTTAAATTTTTAGGAGGGAAACTTTCAATCACTTGGCCAGCTGGCTGGAAGATGCGAGACAGCATGCAAATGCAAACATGTCAATAATGCTAATTGGTAATAAGTGTGATCTTGCTCATAGAAGGGCTGTTAGCACAGAGGAGGGTGAGCAATTTGCCAAGGAGCATGGGTTAATCTTCATGGAGGCGTCTGCTAAAACTGCTCAGAATGTTGAGGAGGTGACTATCCATGATGCTTGCCTATTTTGTATTTAATTTTACAAACTGGTTCTTCTTGCCTTGCAATTTCTTACCTTTACCTTATTAAACTTCCTAATTGTAAAATATTTTTGTTTAGGCATTTATCAAGACTGCTGCTACCATATATAAGAAGATTCAAGACGGAGTGTTTGATGTGTCAAATGAGGTTAGCTTTTCTTTTGTCCTTTTTCCTTTCTTCTCCTTGGTTATTATTCTTATATTTCCTCACATTTCCGTCAATCTTTTAGGTATTAAAAAAAATCTTGAAACCTTGCTTTTCTTTTTGGCGCTTTTTGTAAATGCTGTAGTTTAAATTTGTTATGCGCTTAGTGTCTACTAAACCAGTTTCGGTGATAATTAAGGTTGCTAATCTGGAATGCTTCATGATATAACGTTAAAAATTGATCATCATTTGAGTTGAGTTGTTGATGGTGCGTCTGATGCTCCATTTCTGTTATTTTTTGCAGTCTTACGGGATAAAGGTTGGATATGGTGGAATCCCTGGACCATCAGGGGGCAGAGATGGCTCCTCCTCTCAAGCTGGAGGGTGTTGCGGTTGAATTGTGACATCTCATCTTCTGCGATGAAGACAAATCTGTCTAGTTGTGTTGTTTACATTCTTTATTATCTTTTTTCTTTTCTTGGTCTGAATATTACGACTTGCTTTCTAATGCTTTAAAGAAACGAAAAAAAAAAAATGTACAATTCTTCTTGATGTCTTTTCTATTTGATTGTAAATCTAACACTTGTTTGATTCATAAGTAGATCTGTTTGGATTGGATGGAATTGCATCTTGTGATTTGTGACTATACATGGCCAGAAAGCAACCATTACATTACATTTTCATGTTGACCTTGGCCTTTTGTTTTTGCCAACTGAAAACTCATGCTGTTTTTTAATCTAACATGAACACCATTGACAATAAGCCTATTAAGCTCCAAATTTGGGACACGGTTTGTTCCTTCTTCTAATCATTCTTCCATTTTGTTACAAAATCACATGTTAGGACTTGTTTAAAGGAATCCCCATAAATTTTTAGGACTTCAGGGGCTGAAACTTTATAACTTAGCCTTAAAGTTTGATGCTTTACCATTTTAGCAGTACAGTTTTCGTTCGAGCATATTTTTTTTCCTTCTATAACTAATTGTGAAAATGTTCTGTTTCGTGGGTTTCTGCTATCAAAGATTTATTAGATGCTGAACTGCTACTTTCAAATTTCCAGGCTGGTCAGGAGTCCTTTAGATCCATCACAAGGTCCTACTACAGAGGCGCAGCTGGTGCTTTGCTTGTCTATGATATCACCAGGTATTGTTTCTGTTAACTTGGGATCTTGATTAACTTGCAGACAAAAGATGAGATACATGAGAGATTTATATAATATGTGTGCATATATATATATATATATATATATATTTTTAAAGAGGTCTTAATTGAATTGTACTATGGCATTTAAGTAGTTGGCTAAATCATCAAAATTTCCCCTACTTCTTAAAAACTTTGAAGTATGTGCTTTTATATTGTCATAACTCCTCCATTTGATGTGGGGCACTTTGGTTTGGTATAAAAGGTTATTTTCTCGTTTCAGTAACTCACTAGTCACTAAATCTAGTCCCTTGCTAGATTAAGGCATGAGGCACATGTATATAGTGGACATGAATGTGAAATGACTTTACATATTTTATCCACCTGCTAGTCAATGTGGCACCATGTACGACTGGTTAATGCTGTTAGTGAACTTATAGTTAATTTAAATACTTAAATTTTTAGGAGGGAAACTTTCAATCACTTGGCCAGCTGGCTGGAAGATGCGAGACAGCATGCAAATGCAAACATGTCAATAATGCTAATTGGTAATAAGTGTGATCTTGCTCATAGAAGGGCTGTTAGCACAGAGGAGGGTGAGCAATTTGCCAAGGAGCATGGGTTAATCTTCATGGAGGCGTCTGCTAAAACTGCTCAGAATGTTGAGGAGGTGACTATCCATGATGCTTGCCTATTTTGTATTTAATTTTACAAACTGGTTCTTCTTGCCTTGCAATTTCTTACCTTTACCTTATTAAACTTCCTAATTGTAAAATATTTTTGTTTAGGCATTTATCAAGACTGCTGCTACCATATATAAGAAGATTCAAGACGGAGTGTTTGATGTGTCAAATGAGGTTAGCTTTTCTTTTGTCCTTTTTCCTTTCTTCTCCTTGGTTATTATTCTTATATTTCCTCACATTTCCGTCAATCTTTTAGGTATTAAAAAAAATCTTGAAACCTTGCTTTTCTTTTTGGCGCTTTTTGTAAATGCTGTAGTTTAAATTTGTTATGCGCTTAGTGTCTACTAAACCAGTTTCGGTGATAATTAAGGTTGCTAATCTGGAATGCTTCATGATATAACGTTAAAAATTGATCATCATTTGAGTTGAGTTGTTGATGGTGCGTCTGATGCTCCATTTCTGTTATTTTTTGCAGTCTTACGGGATAAAGGTTGGATATGGTGGAATCCCTGGACCATCAGGGGGCAGAGATGGCTCCTCCTCTCAAGCTGGAGGGTGTTGCGGTTGAATTGTGACATCTCATCTTCTGCGATGAAGACAAATCTGTCTAGTTGTGTTGTTTACATTCTTTATTATCTTTTTTCTTTTCTTGGTCTGAATATTACGACTTGCTTTCTAATGCTTTAAAGAAACGAAAAAAAAAAAATGTACAATTCTTCTTGATGTCTTTTCTATTTGATTGTAAATCTAACACTTGTTTGATTCATAAGTAGATCTGTTTGGATTGGATGGAATTGCATCTTGTGATTTGTGACTATACATGGCCAGAAAGCAACCATTACATTACATTTTCATGTTGACCTTGGCCTTTTGTTTTTGCCAACTGAAAACTCATGCTGTTTTTTAATCTAACATGAATCTAAATTCTCACATTGGCTAAATAGACCATGGTGACAAACTTTTGCATTCGATTTAAAGGATGTTAAAGTTGAGTTGTCAGCACAACTGCAGAGTTGCCAGATAATGGTCGATGCTAATGTCTTGCTTGAAGTGTCTGGATTCTCCTACAGCATCTGCTAATCACAAGCATGTATTATTGCAGCTATAACGTTGGACCGTCCTAAGAATCCTCGGCGAAAGGAAGAAAAAAATGAAATTTGAATGTCACTTTGTAGGAAAAAAAAAAAAAAAAAAAAAAAGAAGCTCTTCTGCACCGAGATTCTTGGAATCAAACAGTTTTTTTTTTTTTTTTGAGTCCTGTTTACTATGGTTTGGACTTTGGTGTGGTTTTAAAAGACATTTAATTTACGGATTTAAAATTATAATTTAAAATTACTCTCAACATACGTATTTTTTTTATAAAAAATATTGTAACCATTTACAAATATGACATAAATTTATATCTCAAACACCCTCTTAGAGTTCAAAATTAGACATTTAATTTACGGATTTAAAATTATAATTTAAAATTACTCTCAACATACTTATTTTTTTTATAAAAAATATTGTAACCATTCACAAATATGACATAAATTTATATCTCAAACACCCTCTTAGAGTTCAAAATACGGATCCAACAAGTGGCTTTGTCAGCAACTTGGGGCTGATCAGTTGCTGCATTTCTGTTTTTTGTGACATGAATATGATCAGAATATGACGACCAAAAGGGAAAGTTAATTTCACTCCTTAGACAATTAAAGTACCGTACAACGATTTACTTCTAACGACAAGCGGCTTTTGTAGAGTTCTGCAGTTGAAATTAAAAATACTCTATCCTCCAATCACCGCTTTCTTATGTTTTGCTGTCCATTGCTGTCAATTGGCGATCTCTGATCAATTTGTAATTTCTCTTTATTTAAATATAAAAAGCGATTTTTATTTTTCCTTCTTTTCCGCCTTTTAAGGTATATACACGCATACAATAAATAACGAGTCTTCCTCCACTATTGGTCATCTTACTGGGTTTATTAGGTATCTAAAGCTTGGAATTTTATGATTGTATCCAAATCCAACCCCAGGAGAAAAAAAAAAGAGGAAATAGTGAAAAGGAAGTACCAAAAGAAGAAAAAGTGTAATCCAAATCCATCACTGGATTTTCTTTTCTCATTGGAGGAATATTATTTCCGAGCGTAATCCATAGAAATAAAAACTGGATCAGTAATCTCCAGCAAAAAACTGTTTTTCCTTTCATGGCTTCGCCTTCGCCAAGTGGTGGGGCTACTAATAATCAAAACCCAAACTTTCTTCACCATCTTCAGCAACAACAACAACAAGATTCTGGTCTCTTTGACATTCAAAAGCTCTTCAAACCCTCCTCTTCGGGCCCCACATTCCCTGTCCCCACAACCGCCAATCTCAATCACATCACTTCATCATCTCCGTCGCCGCCTCCCTATCCAACGGCCTCCGCTTCTTACCCGCCGCCCACCGGCGTCCCGCCCCACCCTTTTCTCATGCAGCCGCCGAGCCCTAGGCCGCCCTCCCCTTCCCCATCCCCGCCCTCTCCTCAACAACCGCCGTCTTCCTCTCCGAACCCCCCCAACGTCTCCAGCGGCGCTCGCCTGATGGCGCTCCTGAACTCTCCGAAGCCTGTCGATTTGCCTCCGCCGTCACCGTCGCCGTCGCCGTCTCCTTCGGCGCCGCCTTTCGAAGCGTCGGTGTCGCCGCCGACGCCGGTGAGATTGCCGAGCAGGAAGCTCCCGAGGGGACGGCACTTGATCGGCGACCGCGTCGTCTACGACGTCGACGTGAGGTTGCAGGGCGAAGCGCAGCCTCAGCTCGAGGTCACTCCGATCACCAAGTACGGCTCCGATCCTGCGCTCGTCATCGGCCGCCAAATTGCGGTGAACAGGTCTTATATATGCTACGGCCTCAAGCCCGGTGCAATTAGGGTTCTTGATATCAATACTGCTTTGAGAGCTCTGCTGAAAGGCCACACTCAGGTTAGTACTTTGTTGTTCGCACACTATGCTCTGCCGTTTACTTGCTTTAACGCCATGGAAAGAAACTACTTTTTCGCTGTTTGGAGTTTGGCATTTCTGAAAACTGCAATGAAAGTTGTCTTGGCAATTACAAATTTGATTATGTTGAATGAAATTGTATGTATTCTCTTGATTATCAGAGAGTGACAGACATGGCTTTTTTCGCCGAGGATGTTCACCTTTTGGGCAGGTATTATTTATATCTCCATGTTTCATCATTCATTTTGTGATTAGTTTCATTTAGATAATGTGACCCTTTTTGTCGGGGTCTAGTGCGAGTGTGGACGGAAGGGTTTTCATATGGAAGATTAGTGAAGGCCCAGATGAGGAAGATAAGCCTCAAATTACTTGGAAAATTTTTCTTGCCATTCAGATAGTGGGAGAGGGGAAACCAGTTCATCCACGGCTGTGTTGGCATCCTCACAAACAAGTAATCAACGTGTTTCCAGTTTATCTCATGTTATTATTCTCCGAATTTCTTCTGCATATCTGGTTTTTGGCTTTTCTAGCCTAGTTGTTTGCTATATCCCGGTTGTGACCTGATTTACAATACTTGCTTTACAGGAAATTTTGATGGTTGGAATAGGAAACTGCATCCTGAAAATTGATACATTGAGAGTTGGAAGAGGCAAAACATTTTCCGCCGAGGAACCCCTTCAATGTCCCATTGACAAGCTGGTTGAAGGGGTCCTCTTGGTTGGTAAGCATGACGCTGAGATTACTGAATTGTCAATGTGCCAATGGATGACCAGCCGGTTAGCTTCAGCATCAAATGATGGCATGGTTGGTATTTGCTTTCTTCTTTACCACTATCTCTGTGGTATTGCAGTTTGTCTCTCTTCCTAATCGTTTTTCATAAAAACAAATCAATTGGTCATACTCTATTTGCAACCAATTCAAACCTCTCACCCCCAGCTAAATATATGTGGCTTAAGCCAGATAAGTCAGATAGATTATTTCTCACTAGGTATAGAAATCGTTCTCTATGTAAGAATTGTAAAGTAATTTCTGGAGAAGTATTAGCCACCCAACATAGGTTAGTGATCTTAGATGTGAGCATTAAGCTTTGCTATAGAAGGACTAAGATAAACCACCTCCCACGAACTCGTTGGTGGCATTTGAAGGGAATAAAGCAATTGACCTTTAAAGAGAAGTTGTTAAATGAGGCTACTTGGTCATATGGTGGTGATGTAAATACTATGTGGGATGCCATGGCCAGCTACATTAGAAAAGTGGCAAAGGAGGTACTAGGGGAATCTAGAGGTAAAGGCCCCCCTGGGAAAGAAACCTGGTGGTGGAGTGAGGAAGTTCAAAAGGCTATTAGGACCAAGAGGGATTTATATAGAGATTTACCAAAGCGTAAGGATGTTGAAACTTTTAATAAGTACAAAGAAGCGAAAAAAGAAGCTAAGCGAGCAGTTGGTAAGGCTCGTTCTACTTACTTAGATGAGGTATATAGGAAATTTGGGACTAGAGAAGGATATATATAAACTAGCTAAGATAAGAGAAAGGAAGTGTCAGGACCTAAATCAACTGAGGTGTGTTAAGGATGATACGGATTAAGTTCTGACAAAAAATAAAGACATTAGGGAAAGGTGGAGGAGTTACTTTGAGAAGCTTTATAATGATGATCATGCGATAAAGTTTGACAATCTTAGGTCACAAGGAGAACCTAATGTGATGTATACAAGAGGAATCAGAGTCTTGGAAGTTAAAACTGCACTACGGAAGATGAAAACGGGGAAGGCGTGTGGGTCAGATGATATTCCAATAGAGGTTTGGATGGCGTTAGGAGATGCTGGAATTGTGTGGCTCACTGAGCTTTTTAATGAGATACTAAAGAAGAAGCATATGCCTGATGCATGGAGGAAAAGTATTCTTGTCCCCATCTTCAAGAATAAAGGAGGTGTGTTGAATTGTAACAATTATAGGGGCATAAAGTTAATAAGCCACACTATGAAACTTTGGGAGAGAGTTATCGAAAGGAGATTAAGGGCCACAACTACCATCTCATGTAATCAATTTGGCTTCATGCCAGGCAGATCAACCACGGAAGCCATTTTTCTTCTTAGAATGCTAATGGAAAGGTACAGAGAAGCCAAGACGGACCTACATATGGTCTTTATTGATTTAGAAAAGGCATATGATAGGATGCCGAGGGAAGTTTTACGGTGGATGCTAGAAAAGAGAGAAGTGCATGTGAGGTATATTAAGGTAATTAAGGACATGTACGATGGGGTGATCACGAGTGTGCGAACTGCTGGAGGCTACACGACAGAGTTCCCCATTCGGATCGGCCTTCGTCAAGGATCTGCTCTTAGTCCCTATCTTTTCTGGATGAGCTCACAAGAGAAATCTAAGATAGAGTTCCTTGGTGTATGCTTTGCGGACGATAGTTTTAGTTGATGAACATAGGGAAGGAGTTAACCGTAAGTTAGAACTGTGGAGATAGACTCTCAAGACGAAGGGATTTAAGTTAAGTAGGACGAAAACTGAATACATGTATTGTAGGTTTAGTAACTCAAGTAATCAGAGTGATGGAATTTCTTTAGATGGTGTAGAGATTGAGACTTTTAGGCAGTTTAAGTACCTTGGGTCTAATAGTGCAGTACAAATGAGATATAGAAGAGGATATTCAACATAGGATTAAGGCAGGGTGGGTTAAGTGAAAGAATGCTACGGGAGTTTTATGTGATTACGAGATGCCTATTAAGTTGAAAGGAAAGTTCTATAGGACTGTAATCCGCCTAACTATATTATATGGTAGTGAATGTTGGGCCATTAAGAGACAACATATATCTAAGATGAGTGTGACAAAAATGCATATGTTAAGATGGATGAGTGGCCATACGAGAATGGATCGCATAAGAAATGAAGTTATTCGTAGTAAGGAATAGAAGATAAGGTGCGCGAAGGCCACTTAAGGTGGTACGGGCATGTCCAACGAAGACCGCTAGAAACACCAGTTCGTGCTTGGGAGGACATTCTTATACCTAATACTAGGAGAAGGAGGGGTAGACCAAGAGTTACGTGGACCGAAGTCGTTAGGAAAGACATTCTAGATCTAGGTATTTAGGAAAATTTAATTTCGAACAGAACTGTGTGAAAAAGTGAAATCCATATAACCGACCCCAATTAAGTTGAGATTAAAACTTGTTGTTGTTGATATATATATATATATATATATATATTAACAGTGGTACTGGAGGTAATCAAATGGTACGTGCAGTCATTATAATTTTCATTTGCTGAATAATGGATAGGAAGTTATTTAGTCAACCTACTGGTATATCTGAAAAGGTGTATCTAAGGTAATTTATTATCTTTAAAGTTTGGGGCAGTGATTAATATGTAACTTTTAGCATATGCGAGTCTGCATATGATATGAATGAACAGTTGGACCTGTGTGGCTAATTTTGATTTGTTTCATGGGCCGGTTAGGTCGTAATGAGAAATGCTGGTTGATATGTGATTTAATTTTTTTCTTTAGTATTTGTTATTCATCACTCGAACACACTTTCGTATTCTGTGACAGGTGAAGATCTGGGAAGACCGTAAGGCATTTCCAACGGCTGTGCTGCGACCACATGATGGTCATCCTGTTCATTCACTGACATTCTTAACCGCCCCTCACCGCCCTGATCACATTGTGCTTATCACTGCGGTATATGCTTATATTTTCCTCCTTCAATAGTTTGATCTACTATCAAAGGCCCTTTTCTGATTGCACACATGCTGAACTATATCTTTTAATTTATTTTTCCTTTTATAGGGGTCACTTAATAGGGAAGTCAAGATGTGGACCTCCACAAGTGAGGAGGGGTGGCTCTTGCCTGGTGATGCTGAATCATGGCAGTGTACTCAGGCTTTGGAAATAATTAGTTCTGCAGCGCCTAAGCTTGAGGAGGCGTTCTTTAATCAAGTTGTTGCATTGCCTCAGGCAGGCCTGTTTCTACTCGCAAATGCCAAAAGGAATGCCATATATGTTGTACATATCGAGTATGGGCCTAATCCAGCTGCAACCCGCATGGATTACATTGCTGAGTTTACTGTAACAATGCCTATTCTGAGCCTTACCGGGACATGTTATAGCTTACCAGACGGAGATCACCTTGTACAGGTCTATTGTGTCCAAACACAAGCTATTCAGCAATATGCCTTGGACTTATCTCAGTGCTTGCCACCGCCTGTAGAGAATGTGGAATTGGAGAAAACAAAGTCTGCCACTTCTTATCCTTTTGATGTCGCTGATGTTTCTGCTCCGCTGGATGTATCCAATAAAAGTAAACCCTCTGACATGATTGTTGGGGAGGTGAGCCTCCTGCCTCATATCAGCTCTGAAAGCTCCCCCTCAGCAAGCCATCTTGTAAAAATCTCTTCGTCTGAGATTACAAGCTTGCCTGAAGGTTCTTCTTCGGGAGTGGATTTCAGGTCAATAGCTTTGACATCTCAGATTGGAGGTGAAGAAGTGAATCCACCATCACCTCGTCTTCCTTTAAGTCCGAACTTATTACCAAATTTGTCTGATTTTAGGAGTTTAACAAATGGCAGTGAGACGAGTCTATCTTGCAATGATCAGGGTGGTGATCAGCCAGGTATTGATCACTCGTTTAAACACCCTACTCATCTGGTAACCCCATCCGAGATACTATCTACAGCTGCTACGTCTTCTGAGCAGTCTCAAACTAGTCAGGGAATGAATGCTTTGGAAGCAAAGGTTCAAGATGATGTTATCAACAATGACGTGGGGAGCATTGAAGTAGAGGTTAAAGTTATTGGTGAAACAGAAGCTTGTAAAAATGATGGGAACGATGGCGATAGAGAATCCCAAAATGTTCTTGCACAGAAAAAGGAAAAGGCTTTTTACTCACAGGCCTCTGGACTTAGCTTTCAGATGGCACATGATTATCGTGTTGAAACATATATTGTGGAGGGAATTGTCAAGGCCAGTGAAGAAGTTCAAGATATGACAAAAGATGTCCCTTCCAAGGCAGGTGAATCAGAAACTCCCGTAATAACTTATGTCCAAGCTACAAAAGGGAAAAAGCAGAAAGGGAAAAATTCTCAAGTGTCTGGTCCATCTTCTTCCTTTATCCCAAGCCCTTTTAACTCCACAGATTCACCCAATGGACCTGATGGTAGTTCAGATGTCCCATCTGCGGAAGCTGCTTTACCCCAGTTATCAGCAATGAAGAATACGCTAGATCAGGTGACTTTTCGGAATATTTTCATACTATAATGATTATACAGTTTTATGAGCTTACAACTACGGATGGTCAATTCACAGTACAATAATTTTCATTTACCTGATTGCCTCTTTCCGAACTGTTCTCAACTTCTCATTAAGGGTTTTGCTTAAAAAGTAACTAAATCTCTTGCCTATGACTATGACACTCTTTTTTTTCCCAAGTGCATTGAAAATATGGGCCGTACATCACAATGATAATTATTTGTAAAAATGGATATTTACGTTTAACTCGTTAATTTGATTCACCTTGCAATCACAGTGTGTGTGGCTAAAAATATGGTTTATGCTGAACGTCAAGTGTGTAATTTCTTATGTTCCCATGGAGCCTAGACTGCTTGGAATGCCCCTGTGCTATTTAGGCTTGTAAGGAGATCTATTGTTCATCCAACTTTGGATATTCAATACTAGATAGCTCGTAGCATGTTATTAAAAGAAATTGCCATGACTTCGTTGCTTCATTAGAAACTGTAGAAATTGTAATTGACTCCGCCTGCATGATTCTATTTCTTTCACGTAATTATATATGCTTAACATTTCATTACATGTTACAGTTAATCGCTGCGCAGAAAGAACTACAAAAACAGATGAACGATATGGTTTCTGTTCCAGTTACCAAAGAAGGTAGACGACTAGAGGGATCCCTGGGCCGGAGCTTGGAGAAAGTTGTCAAGGCTAACTCAGAAGCTTTGTGGGCTCGTTTCCAAGAAGAAAATGCTAAGCAAGAGAAGTCAGAACGAGATCGGACTCAGCAATTAACAAACTTGATCACCAATTCTATAAACAGGGACTTGCCAACCATGCTTGAAAAAACTCTCAAGAAGGAAGCAGCAGCCATTGGACCAAATGTAGCTCGTTCAATAACTCCAGTCATGGAGAAAACTGTATCTGCAGCTATTACAGAATCTTTCCAGGTTTGAATAGTTAATCTTTTAAATTTTAACTGTTTGAAGGTTTTCTTGGTGCTCTGGATAGCTTTGTTTGCCTGTGTTCCTTTTCTTGGAGAAGTCCGTTGTAAATGGAGCCCTTGCACGAAATATTGCCATTTCCAACACATAACAGTGAATAATTGGAAGATGCATACGCCATAAAACCTTGAATATACTTTAAATATTTTCTTAAATTAGGTTATCAGTGCCTGAAAGACGCATTTCTTTTCCTTGGACTGCCTTGTTTCCCATATGGTTCCAGTCTAAAGTCTAAATGATATGATGGGTTTGCTTATTGAAATGTTTTCCTAAACTGCACGTTCTAGTCGTAATAAAGTTTGTTAGCAGATAAATTTCTGATTTTTTTTTTTTTAAATATACTGCAGAAAGGAGTAGGAGAAAGGGCAGTGAATCAATTGGAGAAAACAGTTGGTTCAAAACTTGAAGCCACATTGACCAGGCAAATCCAAACACAATTTCAAACTTCTGGGAAGCAAGCTCTTCAGGTGATTTCTAGTTCATAACGAATCCTTGTTTTTTTCACCAATTATGTAATCTCTTTTGCCATATTATTTTGGTTCTCTATTTAGTTTGAACCTTTACTCTTAAGGTGTTGATATAACTGTCATCCCTATGGTGTTAGTTTGTCTGCTCTCATCGTCGTCATCATGGTTGTTTTATTGTTATCTCCGTAGCATAACCATGTTTAGAAATGGACTTCAAAGTACATATCGAAGTTTAACATAATAGATCTTTTCCAGTTTTCTCTTGTCGGTTTGAGCTATGAGAGGCATTTTTCTTGCATATTACAACGATATAAATGGTCGAATTTTGTATGCAAGTTTATTGAACCTATTCACTTCTGATCATAATTATGGAATCTAATATTGCAGGATGCATTAAGGTCAAGTTTGGAAGCTTCTCTTATTCCCACGTTTGAGATGTCGTGCAAAAATATGTTTGAACAAGTTGATGCCACATTTCAGCAGGGGTTTATCAAACATTCAAGTGCTGCTCAGCAGCAGTTTGAGTCCACACATTCTCCGCTGGCTGTTGCTCTGAGGGTATGTTTAACTTAACAGAGTATTCTAGTTTGAAGCAGTTCGGATATCTTCTCTTTCTATATGATACTTTCTTTGAACTTTTACATGCTTTGTCTCCGGTGCGTGCTCCTTTGATTGATTTTATCATCCTTTTCTGTGTCATTGTTATTTGCTATTATTACGGTTTCTACTATTCTTTTATGTGTTTCACTCTAAATCTGTCTTGTCACGCATTCTCACTTCACTTCTCAGGATGCTATTAATTCGGCATCGACAATAACTCGAACTTTGAGTGGAGAACTGGCTGATGGGCAACGTAAGCTGCTTGCCTTTGCAGCTGCTGGTGGTAGCTCAAAAGCAGCAAATCCCTTGGCAACGCAGTTGAGCAATGGACTACTTGGTCTACACGAAATGATGGTCTCTCTCTAACTCTCTCTCTCTCTCTCCAAGCTATTTTTCCAGAGATCTAACATTTGGATGGTCATATCTGTACTTCAGGCTGAAGCACCTGTTGACCCGATTAAAGAACTGTCTAGGTTAATTGCGGAGCACAAATTTGAGGAAGCATTCACCGGAGCACTGCACAGGAGTGATGTGTCCATAGTTTCCTGGTTGTGTTCTCAGGTATTCTATGCTTTTACTTACATCTTATGTGTAGAAGTATTAACTGCATCACTCTCTGTAGTTTTTAGCTCTATAGATGCTAGTTAGTTAGGCAGATGGTCACAAAATGGTTTGATCTTACCCACTTATCGATTTGGTAACTCTAATCAAGTCTTCTTCTTCTTTCACCAGATTGATTTACAGGGCATTTTATCACTAGTGCCACTCCCTCTAAGCCAAGGAGTACTGCTTGCCCTTCTCCAGCAGTTGGCATGTGACATTAACAATGATACACCGAGAAAGCTAGCATGGATGACGGACGTGGCCGTAGCCATAAATCCGACGGATCCGTTGATCGCGATGCATGCCCGGCCAATTTTTGAACAAGTCTATCAGAGACTTGGTCATCAACGAGCTCTACCTACTACATCTGCTCCAGATGCAAATAGCATCCGACTTCTTATGCATGTCATCAACTCTCTGTTAATGAGCTGTAAATGATTATTTTGCCCTTATCTGTTAATGATAATTGGACCTTCGTTGTATAGAAATCTAGGAAATTTAGTCGGGAGAAGAATAAGTGCGTGCATTGTGCTTGTATTGGATGATATGTAAAATTGTCGGTTAATGTTTTTATGGCATTTTGATCGTAGGTACTCTTTTATGCGTCCTGCATCGGTAATTGATATGGCCTTGAATTTGTGGAAGAGATGTAAAGTAGAATTGGTAAAAAGAATATCAGCAAAATTAGAGCATTTTTTCTTTACTTTTTTGTTTCAATAGAAACGACATGAAATCCCGAAGCATGAGCGAATTGTCGAAATTCGAATATTTTCTTAAACAACAAAATGTAATACCAGAAACGACATATAGTTTAACTACAAAGGATTATAAACTAACTATTAGTTGTGTGCTTAAAAACAATTTTCTTAAAACACGTTGATATTGAACAAGAACAAATTGTCGTTTTCTGTTCTCTACTGCAAACCATTAACGTCAAGCAAAAAAAGCTGCATATTAAAAGATATACAAAAAATTTTCAAACACCAGCCAAACGCATTACCGGTTATTCTTTTTCTTTTTTAATAGGTTATTGGTTATTGTCCATTTTAAAACCGAAAATATAAAAAGCATGTCGTTGTAGGACCAGAGGATGTGAATTTAGTAAACAGCAGGAAAACGACAATGAACTTTCAAACTCAAAATCCGTCTCTCAGCAACACTTTTTCCAAATATTACTCAGATAATTATAAAATGGTGAGGACATGTCGTTTACCCACATAACGACAATAAAATATAAGATAATAACGATAAGACGTTTTCCCTCATAAACGACAATAAAATATAAGATAACAACGACTTGTCGTTCACCCTCATAAAACGACATCAAAACGTAAGACAAAAACGACATGCAATTTAATTGACTTAAACGACAGCGACAATAAATTAATACATGCTGTTAAAAAATTAATGAGATCTTTGATTAAGAACTTTGTCAAAAAAAAAAAAAAAAAAGAGATCTTTGAGTAAGAACAAATTTTTGTTCTCTTCCGTAAGGCTGCAATCCATAAATGTATACGACAATTCTTTTTATATATTATTAAGCGCATAGTTGCTTTTGTTTGTCGTTAAGATTTTTTTTTTAGAATCATAATTAACGGTTAATACTAGAAGCTTTACATAATCTTTGTCAAAAAAAAAAAAAAGAAGCTTTACATAATAAAAACAAGCATGCCGTTGTGGGAAGTAACAACTGCAAACCAAATAACTCGTCATTTTAGTACACAACGGCTGGAAAACGACGATAAACTTTATAAACTCAACAGAGTAAAAAGCATGTCGTTCTAGGACAAGCGGCGTGTCATTTTAGCACATAAACAGCAGGAAAACGACAACAAACTTTCAATCGCTAAATGTGATATCGCTTGTAGGTAGCAACACTTTTTCCGACCAAAAACGCCTTTCAACACCGGCTCTGCAATCTAATCCGTAATACGGGTTCAAAATATTTCCCTCCAAAAAGTAAGCTGCACATGCTGTACAATTAAGATGGTAAAACAACAATCGCTATTAAACTCGAGAGGATAAATGCTAATTAAGTCCAAAATTACGTGTGTAATATAACTTATAATTTGAGAGCTTGACTAGAGAAACATATTTGCACCAAAAAAAAAAAAAAAAAAAAGTTAGCCAAACCATATTTCATTGTGTGAAGGGATTATTATGACTTGAAGCATACCTGCACTAAATGAGCTGAGTTTCAGTACTTGTTTGATGATTGTTCTCAAGCATATTTGAAATCAAACTCTCATATTCTGTATTCTCCTTTTTTTTTTTTTTTGCTAAAATCATATTCTCTAACATCGGTTTCCCCTTAGCAATGCCGCTCCTTCCTCTGCAATATGGTCCACCGGGGACTGCATATTGCAGGTTTCATCCTTGTATGACGAACTTGCTGTTTTAGATATTGCACTCGGACTTTTCTCCCGCTGGTCTTGATTAGCTGTATTCTTGTCAGCTGAAAACCAAGAGGCTGATAAGTAAGTAATTTGTGTTACATTAATAAGATATATAGACCAAATTTATACTTAAAGCACCTTCCGCAATTATTGGTAATTCAACTTTACCTTGGGATGGTTGGCTGTTTTGATAATCTCCACCTCGGTCAATGGCAACTTTGAAAGAGATTTCTTTTTCGTTTTTATTAGTGAGCTCAAATATACAAACATCCCCGATTTTTGGATCATTGTCCTCAACAAATTCCCTCCAACCTGTTCTTAGGAAATAAATTTTTCTGTCACTTAAGCCAATCAGTCGGACATAAAGCTCTACAGTCCAAGTCCTCCCATCCGAAACATAAAGAGTAGCAGCACCATCAACTTTATAGAGATGTTGAAACCAAAAATCTATTGGAAAAACCTAAATCATCAAATAAGTGAAAGAAAGAAAGAAAAGCCCCTATGAGAACACATATTGAGGGACAAAGGAATGCAAATACAATGATATTTAGCAAGTATCTTTATCAAATACTACAAGTAAACAAAATCTATGTAACTATAGTAAATTTGGAAAGAAAGCTTACAAATTCATAACGATTATGAAGATGCCCTCTTTGCATGACAACCTTGAAATGTGGATATTGAGAAGTGAAATCTTTAGTCCTAGATAGAGCTTTGTCCTTTTCAGCTTTATTCAGGGGGCGCTGCTTCGGCACTGCACGAACTTGAGGTTTTGCCCTGTGACTCTCAACTGCAATCAATAAAATAGATAACACAACATCGAAGGCAAAAAATTGAGCGCTAACATGAAATTAGGATTAAAAAAAAGGAAGGGGGGAAAAAACTTAGGAAGGTCAAAAGTTTTACATGCCTTCTATTTCTTTTGACTCACAACTATGCGGCTGATTTCCTCTGTTCATTGGATTCTCTGGATTTATTTCACGACTACCACATTGAGTAGGAGCAGCTCTAAGGTTTTTTTTCATTCTTTTCTGAGCGCAAGGAAATGGTGGCGGCGATTTCTCGTTTGCTTTAACACAGGAAGAGGCATCATCGATGTCGGTCTCCTTAATAGGGGTTGAATTAAAATTTGAAATAATGAGAGGGTAATCTATCTCCAATCCATTAGTACCAATTATGACCACATCAAATTGAGAACACCCTTTATAACTAAAGATCAACGTCTGTCCATTCTCTAAGGAGAAGTAGTGAGCAAATTCCAGCCAGCCTTTGGCAGACCAAACATCACCATCATATTTTGTTAACCATATTTTCCATTTTGTACCATTCGGTACCTTAATACCTACTGGATTCGACAAAGTTTTTCCATACTTCTTCGTAAATTCCTTGGGAATTCTCTGCATAATGAAAGCGAAAAAAATCACTTGAGTATTGGATCAAAGTACAAATTTTATCTTATGTAAGAAAGAAATCCTGTCGATTCTTGGTAACAAAAAACCTAAATGGTTCCACTAATGAAGGTATGTGACTAACTTTTGCCGCGAAAACATATAATAGATTTTAAGTTCAACCCTTTTACTAAATTTCTAAAAGAAAGTTATGCAGATACATATTCCAGCAAAAAAAAAAAGAGTTAAGAATATGCATCAAAATGGAAGATTTTACTAATATCTAGAAAAAGGACAGTATTTTTTTTTTTTTGGTAATATTCTTGACGAAAAACAATACAACGATAAAGAAGAAGCAATAGAGATGATATTCAGAACATATTCATATATATATATATATATATATATATATATATATTTGTGCTTACGAGCTTGTAGTCGAGAAGAGTGTTGTATGAAACCCTGGTCAGAAAGTGAGGAGTGACAGGGGAAATGTCTTTGAGCTTACGAACTCGGGGGTGAACATAGGGCGCCACTGTTGAACGACGAATAGGTTGGAGTTTGCAAACGCCTTCCCTTTCAGCTTTGTGGATACTCATGGCGGTTCTTTAGTGTCAGTAGCCAGTGAAAGAGGGAATTCATTAGCTGTGTATTAGAAATGGAGCTTTTATTTTCCTTTTTTTCCCCTTTTGAGTACTCTACAGAATTATGGAATATTGTATTTATTTAAAATAAAAATACATATAATCTATTTTTTTATGGGGAACAAATATATCATCTATTTTCGACCAAATTGAATATATATACTAAAATATATCTCATTTATTTTGAACCATACTATTTTTTTTTTTTTTGACTATTTAAAAAAACAAAATTTACCGAAAATTTCAGAAAATCTAAGAAGAAAATTAAGAAACACCAAATCCTTCTCCGAAGATCTATGCTCAGGTCATGATATTTAAAACGCACTTAAAATATTCTCGTATAAATTTGATGAGATTTCAATAAAGGGCACTTAAATAAATTGTATATTATTTAAGTATACTCAAAATGTGTACATTCATATTTCTTTCTCATTCTAACAAGCACTTCGTTGCAGGGATTAACGACATCACCCAAACGACGTGTCATTTATTTTGACGAAAACGACATGACATTTCAGAGCAGGAAAACGACAAACTTTAAAATGAGATGTCGTTTGTAGTAGCAACACGTGTTTCCGACCAAAAATAACGGCCAACAAATGTACGATAATAGGCGAGAAGAGAATGAAATATAAATACGGTTCCTGAGTGATCAAACAAACGTACAATTTCACAACATTCTCTTAGGATTTTTCTACGTAATTTTCTTGGAATTTACTCCCATTTCGGAAGTAAAGATGTAATTGTTCTAATATGTACCAAGAAACTTGTTGAGAAAAATCGCAAATATATTTATTACAATCAAGTAATATAATAGTGGATAAGAGTATCATCTTACGAAGAGGATTGTTGTTTATAAATTATCAAAATTATAGTAATTTCAATTTTATTTAAATAATCGAAAAAATAGTTTATAAAATTAAGTAAGGTAAAATTATAAGAATTAAATAAATTAAACTCAATAGATTAAGACTCTAGGATTTCTGATTTCACCAAAATTAATCATGTTCAAATTCCATAATTCAAGAAAATTAACATTCAATCGTATACTGACAGTAATTTCTCTAAAGCAATTATTATTCTTTCTCAAGCAACAATAATTTTAATCCAATAAGCAAACTCTACATCTCTGTCAGACATCTAAACCTGTTAAAAATCATTAAGTGCAAGAAATTCAAAAGAACTGCACAAGCATCATAGATATCTCTATCATATGAACAACTCATGGTATTTTAATTAAGAGCTTATTTAATTATCACTTCCCGGTCTCAAATCAAATACAAAATCATGTAATAGTTGGCCAAACAATCACAAGCATTAAGAATAAATTGAAATACTCAGCATATATGGATTATACATCAATTACTTAAAAAAAATATTGAGAATCTAAACATTCATAATTCGGCTACATCGTAGCCCTAGAAAAAGAAATTAATTCATCTCTAAACAAAATAAATTCCTAAACAGAGTCTTAATCATTGGAAATGAAAGAAAAGAACTAGTTTGGAGTTGAATTGAAGTGTCTCCGTCTATGGATTTTAGCCGTTGTTCTTCTTCGTACTCAATTCTCCTTTTTCTTCTTGAATCTCCTCTCAAAAGTCAGTTGTCACCACAGTCCAAAAGTCCCTTTAATTGCCCTAGAATCATCTATTTATATGTTTTGGAGCATTAGGATCAAAACGAGTAAGTTTTCTCACGATTTGCCTTGAAAACGTGTCTTTTCTCGCGTCGTAGCGCCACGGCGCTGAGTTCCTAGCAATGCGGCACTGGCTGTACAAAAATCAGCGCCAGTCGTCAGTTTTTATAGCGCTGCAGTGCTGTCATGGGCGCCAAAACGCTACCCTTTCTGTCCAAATGTACTGGTTCTATAAAACTCAACGCCAAAACGCTACAAATTGGCGCCTAAACGTTGTGTTTGTTGTCTTTTTTTCACCACAAGTTGTCCAAAACCTTCCAAATCATAGACTTTCACCTAACCTTCAAACAACAAATAAAAACACACATAAAAACTAACAAAAACCTCAAAAACCAACTAGATATTAAGTGTAAAATGATACTAAAAGAGCGAGTAAAACTCACTCATCAAATACCCCCAAACTTAATATTTTGCTAGTCCTCGAGCAAAACAAAATTGAAAGAAAGAACACTAAAAGAAAAAACAAAAAGTAAAAACACAAGTTATACGAAACATAAATAAATGAAACTTTGCTTGAGTATTGATCTGGCATTGTTTCATAAAAATGCCTGAAAGATCTCACATAAGTTACAGCTCAAGAAAGAATTTAAACTTTTTGAAAGTTTATAATTTCAACTCAAATGCTAATCTCACCCCCACCTAAGACTCCTTATGTGTGTGTGAATTATCAATTACACATACCCAAATGCAACTCAGATGAGTTTATGCAATTAAGTGAATCGAGGTAGATCTCTAAATAAAGAGGATTTTTTGAACTCCATAGGCTTGCTTTTCTTATCACTCTCCACTGATGTCGGTCAACAAACCACCAAGGATCAATATGACTTTATTAAGCTTGAATTGAATGGCTATGGATTAAGGTAGGATAAAAGGATATCAATAAGGCTCTAAATTCCCTAAACTCATCAATTACTCTAGGATCCTCTTGTAGAACTTATAACTCAATATCCCAATACATTTGCCATTTGCCATCAACATTCTTGTCCCCACTCTTTATTTCTTTCTCTTTTTTTTTTTCATTTTTGTTTTTGTTTTGTTTTTTTTTATATACGACAAATATAGAATTTCATTAGAGACATCAAATAAATTATAGAAAATATCAATACACCTTCTAATTCTAAGCATAACTCAACGTGCATCCTAATCAACAAGCTTAAGGGAAAGGGTGAATGATAGGATTTATTTAAAGGCTAAGTTAATAATGTGGATGACAAAGAAAAGTTTAATCAGGCTCAAAGAGGTGACTAGGGATATTGTTATAACAGGGTAAGCTCAAACGACTCAAACGATCCAAATGGCCTAAATCATTTTCTTAGTGATAAATTGCCTGGGATTTCACCTCGAGTGATAATCAACAAGTTCTAGAGTCTAGTGAGATCTTAAGAAACACAAAATTCACATAAACTTTCTCTAAGTTCACAAAATGGCCAAGTGCTCTTAGTTATGTGCTCAACAATGCAAGGAAATCATAAGTAGAGCAAAACCAACAAACAAGTGAAGCACACAAACAATCAAATTATTCATTGTCTCCCAGAAGCCATAGTTAAGTTCAATCGTTGTCTCATCATCAGCCGGGGGCGAAACAAGCCGAACCAAAGCTTAAGTTTTTTTTTTATTTTTTTTAAATTGAAAACCAATCTAAAGAAATTAAATTCAAGTCAAATAGAATAAAATAAGACAGGCATATAACTCCCCCAAACTTAAAACTAACATTGTCCTCAATGGAAAAATAAAACAAGAGAGTGTAGAGGACTTCCCTGAGTAGTTGTCAATCAGTGTCTTCATTCGGTGTAAGAGGTTCGGAAGTTGCAAGGAATTTTTTTTTTACGGAGGCAGTGCCAAGGCGCTCCATGGTAGCGCCAAAGCATTATACGTTCTGCCACTTTTGCCCAAAAGGCTCTATTTTAAGCACCAAAGCGCTCTCCCAAACTTAAAACTAACATTGTCCTCAATGGAAAAATAAAACAAGAGAGTGTAGAGGACTTCCCTGAGTAGTTGTCAGTCAGTGTCTTCATTCGGTGTAAGAGGTTCGGAAGTTGCAAGGAATTTTTTTTTTTTACGGAGGCAGTGCCAAGGCGCTCCATGGTAGCGCCAAAGCATTATGCGTTCTGCCACTTTTGCCCAAAAGGCTCTATTTTAAGCACCAAAGCGCTCATATGAGCGCCAAACGCTACTGCTGATGCCAAATCCGTGCTTTCATGCATGCTTGAGCTTCATTTTAATTGCAAATCCTTAGAGCAACCCCCAAACTTGTTTATTAACCTATCATTTAATTTAAAACACAATGAGTAAACCGTAAATAAAATAAATTAAAAAAAATCTAAGGAATAGTGAATAAGAGAAAAGATTTTAGAAGGCTCAGGTTGCCTCCCGAGAAGCACTTAGTTTAACGTCATCATGCCAACATCTTACTTTTTATGGTGAGTTCAGGAGAATGGTAGTCTTTTTTTTTATCAAACCCACCATTAATATATGACTTCAAATGTTGTCCGTTGACCTTGAATGTTCCCTTTGTATCATGAGTGACTTCAACTACTTCATAGGAAAATACTCTCACCACGGTAAATGGCCCTGACCATTTGGACTTGAGCTTTCCTAGAAATAAGCGCAGCCTTGAATTATAGAGCAACACTTGTTGGCCCGGCCTGAACTCTTTTCTTGAAATGTGCTTGCCATGCCAAGCCTTAGTTCGCTCCTTTTAAATCTTGGCTTTCTCATATGCATCATTACGAAACTCATCCATCTCATTAAGCGTATGTGGTTTCTCAATTGATGGAAGAGGGTGTGATGGGCCTCGTCCCAAAGCTTCAAAGTACCTCCAATTGTTAGGTCCGGAAGAATCCATCCAATGCACAAACTCCATAGCTTTATGATCTTATATTGCAATAGTTTCCGGATATATTAGACAAGCTTCCAAAGGCCCTTGAGGTTGGCCAAGATGCTCAGTGACCAATGTGTTAATTGTTTCAATTTGAAAACAACTATTACTCGCTTGCGGGTATTTGAGAGCATTTAATACATTGAAAATCACCTTCTCCTCTTGTACTCTTAGGCAAAGTTCACCCTTTTGCACATCAATAAGAGCCTAACCGGTTGCTAAAAATGGTCTCCCAAGTAAAATGTGATATGAACCACGCCAACAACGTGATGAAACCCGAAACCAAATATGGAATTATGATTCAAGATCTTCAAGAATTGATGGAAACCGTGACCCGTTGCTTAGCAAAGCAAGAACCTTGGTATGGTGAAGATGCCACAAACGAGTATGGAAATCCGTTTGATAAGTCAAGCTTGAACACCACAAGGAAACCTTGATAAGTT